TCAGTAAGTAAAGACATGGGTTACCAAATGAAATATATCATCATAAATTTATTCTTGAGTGTTACCCGTGTTGATATTCAAAAAAGTGACTGTGGATATATGAATGATTTTAGACATTAGGCGTTCAGTTAATATGTGAGATAAAAGTAGTTAATTGAGTGCTTATACTTCAATAAATATGATAAGTAGATAGGAAACTGTTAACGTTGACCACCGAGGTCTTATATAAAGAACAGGTTAGCAAAGGAAGAACAACAGAACATTGTATATGTGATTCACTGTCATGACTGTAATGCTACCTATGTTGGAGAAACATCCAGGTAATTGAATGGAAGATTGAAGGAACACAAACAATTCTTGAAAAATGTTCCAAAATCCTCGATTGATTTAAAGAAACTTGAAAATAGTTCAGCGATAGCGTTACATGCGTTAGAAACAGGACACAAGATTAATTTTGAAGGGGCCAAAATACTTCAGAAAGGTTTTTAACAGCCATAAAGAAAGATTGACAGCAGAAGCGGTGCATATACGGGCGAACAAGAACAGCCTGAACCGAAAAGATGGTATTCAACTGGCAACTACCTGGCAAATTTCGTTTGACAAGTAAAAAATTTGAAACCTATCTGTTGTTTAAACCTGTTTTTTAATATCACATGCATCGTTATTATTTTTGAAAGAATTCAGTGAGATTTTTTTGACATGTACATTGATGTTTCACTATCAATTTTTCATCCTTGAACTTGAACTTTATTTATTCGTTCATATCAGTGTCTCACACATACATACATAACTACAAACTCACACACATACGATTTGTTACTCAGTTAATTATTTCCATGTAGTTGAATTTTTCACATGAATTGTAGTTAACTGACTCATTCTATCCTATTTTACAAAAAATTAACATCCATATATGATTGGTTTAACACAGTATAATCCTGATTGTTAAAAGCTATATATTTCTTTGATAATTTTGATTTTGATTATTACCCTGAAGAAGTCCAGACAAGTTAGCTGGACGAAACGTTGGAATTAGTTAAATTTCAATCTCTGAGAATATTTCAAATATAATTTTCGCATATAATGACTTATCTATACTTGGCGCTCAATTACTGTCAAACTATTCGTTCTAATCTTGACAAATATTCGTATAACTTATATAAAATATTTAGAAACATTCACGATGGATATGTATTAGCTGGAAAATGACTTTTAGAATCTACCTTTTAACTATACAATGTACCTCACATACAAGATAATGTGGTAATTTTAGTATAATACACCCTACAAAGAAACTAGTCAAAATTGAATATATACCACCCGTACGTGAGTGCAAACTATTCCATTTTAAAAATAATTAGAAGAGTTCAACACTAACTCGTGTGATCGACAATATTTAACGCTTGCTAAACAAATTGTAGAAATAATTCGCTTCAAAAACCAAAAGTACGTCAGCATGAAACTGTATAACAATGAGATTTCAATCATAACATGTTTGATTGATTTGAAAGACAGGATTATAACTCACTCAACAATGACACAAGTACAGAATAAACTCTTAAATAAAGCACGAGTACTTGTCATATAGTGGAACCTAAAACTATTCAAAATGCTCGGGAACCAACAGTATAGCAAAATCGCAGCGTTCAGCTGAGAAATGTTGATTCGATGATGCACATAATGACGAGTTCCATATGAGCAAAAATAGCAGAATTTACTTTTCTTCCTCGAGTTTTTCATAATCTTCACGAACATTAAGTGCTGCATAATTTGATTGTCTTTCTGCGAGGGGTAATTAAGTAGATGGAGTTCCACATTTCCGCTTTTAAGTACAATATGCATTTGAAATTTTGAGTAAATGTAATAAAGCATCGCCAAAATCACACATTTCTATGGTTTTCATCACAAAATAACACCGATTTCATCCAAGAATTTCACCGACTCGTTGTCATTTTCATCAGGGAATCTTGAAATATTGAATGACTCTGGAATTTTTACGTGAAATTTTCACGGAACATTCGAATAGATAACACTCCAAATTGGTCAGTAGGCTCGCTCAGAAAACCTATTTGTAATGGATAGAAAACTGAAAATCCCTCCATAGCATTTCGTTGGACAGTAGTGTCACTTATCTATTTTTTGTCTCTGCCCTATAATTTAGCTGTTATTCGAGTCTCTTTTAAGTCGCACATTATGTTCTTCAGTCTTCCTTTTCTTGGCCTTCGTTACTTCATCCTGATTAAAGATATGACTTTTGTTACTTAATTTTTTTTTAAATATTGCCAGACCATTGACAATAAGCTCGCGTTTGACTAAACTTAAGGCCATGGTGAGGTTCAGTGTATAGATGTTAACTTTTGACTGTCGGCTTTGAAAGGTTGCCGGGATCTGTGCGGACAGCTATCTGATCCTATCTTGTTAAAAAAATATTTCTATATATACCCGGGTCTCGAATTAATGCTAATTAACTATTCTTTATGTTGTTTAGCACGTTAGTTTACGTTTGAGATGCCCTTGACTATATAGTAGGGGTTGTACTGTTTGACGTGTTTTGTACCTTTAGTATAATTCGCTCTTTTTTAATTTGAATCGCTCAAGTTGGACAAAGTTTGTGTGTCGATATATTTTAGTACGAGTCATCCGAAAAATCTTCGTACGCTAAACAGAATAATGTGTATTTACCTGTTGGAGTAAACTTTAGTTCGTTAGTTGTGCGTTCAAACCATATATTGGTATTTCGGTCGTTAGACTGCTTGATAGCAGCTTCGGTTTTGTAATGGCTTGACTGTCCACTGCTCGCCCTAATAAAAATTTGTATTTGGTTATGGCGAACTTCTCTTTTAGAATAAATTCATGATTCAAGTTTAAAAATTATTCCCCTTCATTTAACAAGTTTAAGACGACAGTTTCCTGATTCAGGTCTGAGAATTACTCTTATACGTCTAACAAGCTAAGAACTACACGTTCTTGAACGCAATACAAGTAATTTCCGCTCTGAACACTTTCTATACTTTACATGGTAATTATGCACGACCGTGATTAGAGGACCGAGGTATTATCGATTGCACTCTTTATTACAGTAAGCAAACAATTTGCATGATTGGGGGAATCATTTAGTGGATTTTTAGGGACCGACTCCAAAAGAAGGTCGAGTTTGGTTTCTGGGTCAGAAACTTGAACATATATTACGGTTATTTCCTTAAGGGTAAAACACTAATCTAAATACCTGAAAAGTAACTTGTGATAGCTGCTGAGATAATCACTACCAAAAAAACGTGTAAAGCTAATCTCAACATCAAAAGCGCGAAACAAATAGCCAAAACGGAACTACGTTAAGTACCGTTATTGTGAACTTTGCATAACCACAGAAGGTTTGGTAACTGAAAAACATAAAGCTGTTACAGCATAAAAAGGCAGAAGCAGGACATAGAATTTATATTCTTTCTATGCACTAGACAGCGTACTGATGTTTGCTCTGTTGTAATTTCGAATACGTTCTTTGGCAGCATCTATGTCTGGATAATTAACCAGTCATAAAGCTTATCTATGAACACTGACGAAAGTCAGCTGCCTACTGCTTTCTTCAATGAAATAAACGGGGGTCTTACCAGTACATGTTGATGTTCTGTACAAAACAAACTTAAAGTACTGCGGTTTATGCAGTTCTCTGTTCAAGACGGTGAAGTAAAAAGAACTCAATGATGTAACCCAAGTATCTTCTCATGAGTTGAAATATGTTTACGCATTGCATCATGTGATACACGTAGGTGACGTTCTTTTCAAATTAATCTGGCCACGAACAAAAAAGTGTGGAATATATAAAAAAGTTGTTTAGATCTCGTCACATTAGGTATCTGTGAAATGCACAGTAACGTCTTATAGACAACGTACTTTATTGAGAGTATCACCCTCCAATCATAAGATCACGTTATTGTTGCAATATTACCTCAAAACATAGATATCATGCTTAAGTAGGTCCACAACAGGGTGAATGGGATATAACAATACCCTTGTTTATCAGCCCTCAATCCAAACTACTGGAATATCAGTTGCCCTTCTTCATGAACAGATTAATAGGAGATTTAATCACAATGTACGGAATAACAGGAAGTTATTGTGAACCCAGCATATTCCATTATCTTCCCCCAACTCACTCAAGACAAATCGAAGTGCACTGTAAGAAAGAAGAAAAAAATATCCCTGTTCTCATTGAATCATCAACTCTTGAAATTTATTACAGAATTAGGTGGTGTCCACACTTCCAATTGATTTGAAGATGTCGTGGATAAAATGCTCTTCGCAACGCTGTCACCGAAGTCGAGGACGAATTAATCAGACCTATTAAGACCATGTTCGATATATGGAGGTATATGAAGTTCAGGTTAACTAGCTTCTGTAAAAAGTGTGTATCACAGAGCACATAAACTTGATTTAGTGGGGTTGCTTGATCAATAGCCTCCATCTAGGAGTGCATCTATTAGAACATCGATGTCAAAACATTTCTAACTAGGTTTCGGGGAGACTTAGTTACTGCTACAGACTCTTTCAGGAAAAGGCAAGCTTAAAGGAAAAAAGCCCATCTATTCTTTTGACTTTCCGTTCCTAATAAAGAAATATAAGCCCGAATCTAAAACCTCTTAGGGCTATTATGACCAGGTGTTTATATTCACTGCACAGAAGACAGGTAAAATGAAATCGGTCTCCGAAATTGAGAAGCCAAAGCAAAATAACTAGTTGGGTTTTTATAGGTATTTTTGAAGTTGTTAGATCATATTTTTCATTAATTGTATGGTAGTGAGTCATTCAATATGTCCCCAATAAACAATCAAACAAGATTAATGAACAAAGTTTGCTTCTCACCCCAATATGATCATAAAACTATTTCCGCTTTGAAATTTGACTGCTTAGAATCTAAATAAGTGAATGCAGTTTAGAATTGAATAGTGATTAGGAAGACAATTATGTTGTATTCAATGTAACAGGGTATTGTGGAATACTGAGCGCCAAATGTGTATGTAATGCTCCAGGGGCGGGGCTTTAATATTGATGAAAGATTGTGAGCTTCCGATGAAGTGGAGTCGGATATCTGATGGGAGGTTATAATAGTAAACTGACAGTACCAAAAGATGAGCCAAATCTCATGAGTAGGGTTGATACTTCTGACCTGAGCAAAAACCCTAAACTGGCTGACCTCAACAAAGTTGACGGTAAATCTTCATTTTGATTTTACAGACTGACAGAAAAACTAGCTGATATTCGTTCTTACACAAAGATGGACGCGCAAAATTCGAACGATTCCTTCATGCTGGGTCGAGGAGGTATTATGGTCGTATTATACGACTTCGCAGAATCAATGAGTTCTCAAATCAGCATTAAGCGAGGTCAGTTCTCACTGTGATAAAAATATTCCACTTGGCGTATAATCTAGTGCATTTTTTTTATTTGCGCTGGGCGGGAAAAAAGCAGCAGTAGCTTGAAAAAATATTAGCACTGAAAATTAATTACTACAAGATGTGTCCTGGCTGGGACTGAATTTCGGAAACATATTCCTTTCAATTACTTTGCCATGTTATAGCCACATGCTTGCAAATAAGAAACGTAACAGCTTTCAGCTTTATAGTCATAGAAATGTACAAAATACGAAACTTACTATTACCCATTAAGCTACATAACAAGGAGGAAGGGTATGGGTATTCACTACTTCAATTTACACAAGCTTTTCACCTTTATTTATGTTTATACCGTAAAAATTTTGGACGAACTAGTAAACCTACAATTGAACTAATTTGCATCTTACTATCCGTAATATTACTTAAGTGCTAGTTGACAGTACGAATTGAATGACGTACATGTTTTCCTGTTGGTCTCCTTTTAAAGTTCCGTGTTTAACATCTAAAACGTCTACTGTCATAGTTTACTCAGTCTTGGGAGACGCATATACTGTAAGCTTCGCACGCTAAAATTTCGGTAAACTATATTGCCTTTTTAGTGGACGCACTATGAAAAGTGATGGATCTCTCCCCCTAATTTTGTAAAAATCAACAAAATAAGACGAAGTCACATTTTATTTCGTACATTTGATTTGGATCATAGTGTAAGATGTTTCTAGAGCGTCGAAATATCCTTAAAACATAACTATTTGGTCTTTGCTTAGTAACAAACTGAGTATCCCGACCATCATAAATTAAGCAAACAATTTAAGCAAGTATGTTTTTTCTACGATCTATTGCCAGGCTTTAGAATTACAAATAGAAGGAAACGACACATTTCTATGTATTAGGAGCAATCATTGATAATAATTGAAACAAGGTCATGAACGTCCACGTGTAGTTTGTTAGAAATCTGTGTTTAAAGTCGTGGCATAATAAAGTAAAAGAATCGGCGAGACTACAATTTACAGATGAACCAATCAGATATAAGATAACGAGTCACGAATTTTAACGCGAAATTCGTCCATACATTTGGTCAAATAGAGTTTTGACATTATAGCTGATGTCAGTTCGTGATGAAAACTCAAAATCTAATTTTTAATCCTACCCATAAACTGTAAATGAGAATCTTAACTGCTTTATAACCCTCATTTAGGCCTAATCAGTAGGTGTCCACTCAAGGTCACTTCAGCGTCGTTCAAAAGTCGTCCATAAATTATGATCTCACCAAAGAATCAATGCGTCAAGTAAATATGCAAAGTGGAACCGGGAATAACTATGATGAGAATAAAATGTGTACATGTTGAGACTGTTCACAACTGCCAGAAGTAACCTGAGAAGAATGTGCTTCTGCACAACAGTTGTTTAAGGGCATCATAGTGAAAAGGACCGAATAAAAGATGATTAAGTTTGGTCAGAAATCATAGTGGATATCACTTCAGGTGTGCTTGGTAACGGAGGCCCGCTAACCTTGTTAAGCATTGTGTATAAGTCTGAATATTGTAGTCTCATTGTATAAGGTCTTAAGACGTTTATATTGATGAGAACGATTCGGACGCTTAATATTTACTAGTTTTACCACAAGCTCAAATTGTGTGGTTCCCTCAGGCAAAATAATCTTTTGCCTCTGTCATCACTTTCACGTAGAATAAATAATATTAAGTCGTTCTTGATCGTCATCTACCTCGTATCAGAAATAATTATCGGATCTGATCATTTTGTGACTGTCATTTATCCGATTTTAGTTTTCGCAAACAATGGGTCATATTAAATATTGCTCCATTTTCTCCCAGCGTTTTCAGTGATTAGTGATGTGGAAAAAGTAGCTCACTTATTTATTGCTAAGCTTCACTGCACTCATTCAGTTAGAGAGTATCTCTTGATTATTCAGTCTCAAAAACGATCTTAGATCGTTATGTTACGGATGTCAAAAAACTCAGATTTTTAATGGTCTTCAGTACTTCAATCTCACTGTCCAGAGTACATCATGTTTGATACACCATTATGAACGGTTTCTCTATTTAAGTGCTCAGTAGTTATTGTCGCGCCTAAATTCCACGAGTGGTTATTTTGATGTGCATTGGTAAAATTCATTCGTTCTTGGCACTTAGTTTTTTCGTTAGTTAAGTTCAAATCTTGTCTTTGGTTTTTGCATACTTCTAGTTGCTATTTATTTCGCAAGTTCATAAATTTCATCACACGCTATCCCTCAAAATGTCAAAACTAGACGTCAAAATCTTGTCAAAGTTGTTGAACAGAGCTTTGTTGTAATTTCCCTCCAGATAACTAGTAAGCCCCCAAATGCCCTGGTATGGCCGAGAGTGGGGAGAGTCCGCTCTCCCTCTCGAAATGCTCTCACATGGCCACGCGTATATAGCCTCTGCCAGGGAAGTCCTACTCACTGCCTTCTCGTGGCGGGGGTGTTGTTTACAAAAATGAGAGGACAAAAAGCGAATGTCTGGCGCTTTAACCGGATTCCAAACTGATGGTGCACATGGGCTCCAGTATCTTGAGGGAACAAATGGCGTATGAACCAACTGTTTGTCACCGGCTACCATGGGATTGCATCTCCTTACGATGCTCCACTGCCTTGTGGATCAGACCTTCAGGTCGAAGGCTCGGGGTGTGGCCCTCTAAGAAAACCACCTGTTTCGGTCTGGGGACCCGGACAGTATCACAGCCCTCACACATATGAAATAAGATTTGTGTGGCGCATATGTATTTGGTGCTTACTTGTACCAATATCTATGTGTTAAAATAATAATAAATAAACTAGTAAGTAGTGGGTACTGGACTGTCTCAGCTTATACATATCAATAGAAATATAGTCAGTTAGTACCAGTTCAGTTACATCTCCAAGTGCAAATTTCTGCCGTTCCTCTTGTTGATTTTCTCATACTGGACTTTGTAAAGTATGAACATTACTTATACTGCCTTGTTATGTGATGTATATATATCATCAGTTCGAATCTTATTAAACATCTGTTTAAATCTATTCTAAAAGATCTCATGTTGATTTCACGGTGGGAGTTTATTCTGATAAGCTTTTTACTGCCTATCTACTCCGTTGTTGTACTGGTTTGGAGAGTCATCCTAGAGAGTACTGTTTGTTTTACCTAGTTGATTCTGTATTTCACAAATGCCTATTCTTATTTATAAATTCTGTTGATTTTCAGGTGAATTGGTACGCCTTTTAAGCTATAGTCCAGCTGGAGACTGGTCTGAGGTGGAAGCTTCCATTGTCTTACCACCTCTCCCCAAACCTGGACCGGGTAGTTCTACTTCCGGGTCAGAAAGTCATCATTCTCAGTGCAAAGGTGGAGCTACTGTAAAGCATAATCATGGGCCCACCAGGGAAACTGGGAACAGTGTAAATACTTCTTGTATGTATTTGTTCAATAATTACAGACGTGGATGGGTACCAACGAGTTACTTAGCTATTGCAAATGTCTTCCAAAGTTCTGCTCCTTCAAAACAGTCTTATTCACAACAGTTAATTAGTTGTGAAGGTTCAGAAAAGCCAAATTGCTCAGTTAATGCCCCTTGCTTATCTAATTCACAACCAATTATTGCAAATGACCACATGCAATCACGGGTACAAAACGTATCAAACAAGGGACCTGTTCATCATGTAATGATGGATTCATCGCCTCTAAGTCTTTTAGAACCAAGTCTTCTTCCGTATTCATGGTATCATGGTGCTGTCTCAAGACAAGCTGGAGAACATCTCCTTCGAAGCGGTATCACAGGTTCTTTTCTGGTTAGAGCATCAGAGTCTGCACCTGGTCAACTTTCTGTAACTGTGCGCCACTTAGGAAGAGTCTATCATTATCGTATTAGTCAGGACAGCAGAGGACTAGTATGTTCGTTTTTTCTCGTTTTTATGTTTTAATCCTAAAATGATCAGATTGATTAACCAAAGTTTTTTTGCTTACTAACAAAACAATCTCAGCATGTCAATAAGGATAATAAATTTCAAACAGAGAAGTGTCATTGTAAGGAAACAAATATTTATGTTATTGTTCTGGTTTCTGAAAGATATATGGTTAACTCTAACAAAGTTTTTCTAAGAGGTATTTTTCGGATTTCTCCACACAATTCCTGTTTACTCCATTTAAGCCCACTAAATAGTCTAACTTTGTAGTGTTTCAACGTAATACCTGTTTTAATTAGTATCAGTATGCAAAAGTATTTAATTATGAACTAATTCGTATTAAAGTTAATCTAAGTAGTCAACAGCTACATTAATTCTGTTCTACAAATTAATGAACTATTGTAATGCACAATAATTCAACTTGCCAGTATTTAAGAACCCAGTCAATCATAATCAATATGGAATTTGGCGCAGGTGTGCGTTATCCCATGTTGCCATACCACGTAAATTGCGACGGTATGAAATTAACAAGATGTACGGTGAGGGAGTCAAAGTAATATAGTAGCGATGAAAAGGGTTAAACATTGAGAATCTGGCTCAAAAAGACAGTAACGAGTCATGTATGAAATAATACTGGGACTCAAGGTCTAGAGTAAAGTAAAGAGCGAATGCATTTGCTGTACCACGCATCTCCAACGTCTGCCCAGATGTCTCACAACAGCGGCCAATGGCTTCATTAACTGATGTCATGCATTGTTTTTACCGCTCTTAGCTTTCTCTCAACCTATTCGTATACCAGGCAGCATTACCTGGTGACTAATTATGTGTAATATATCCTGACTATCTCAGTTGATGAAGATTTATAACCGCATCAACTCATTTGCCATCTTTACTTAGTACCCTATGCCTAAGATTAACATCGCTCACTCGGTCCTTACATTTAACGCGAGCGATGGTTCGAATACATTTAGGGTCTAAAGCTTGTAGTCAATGCATATCTTTTACTTTCAAAGAGTATGTTTGGTAATTATAAAGTAATACAGGATGGACTGTCGTACAGCTTTCTCGCCCTTTGGTTGGCAGATGGGCATCTCACCTAGGCCACAAGTGATGTAAGTTGGTATGAGCTAACCCATCTTTTTCAATTCATGCTGGGATTTCATTAGACATCAATCCACGAATGGTCACAAGATTTCCAAGAAGTGTTTGATACTTTAAATTACTTCATTCCCTATGGTTAATATAGTCAATGATACAAACTAGTCTTGTAGCAACAATTCGGATTTAGAGGGAGAGAAATGCACCCTAAATACACTTGGGTTAATACTCAAGGTGACCAGAATATTCTGCACAACGTCAGTTTTGTCACTGAGTAGGATTATTTCATCTGCATATTGTAAGTCAATAAGTGGGTCGCCCTGTAGATGATAAATCCCTGAACAGTTAGATGAATAAAGTGTGATTCCCATAAGGACATTCATGGCCAAATTAAGTAAATAGACAGTGGGGAACCCTGTCGAACCTCACTTGGGATTGACGATTGAGATGATAGTTCACCGTAAGCTCTGATTTGACCAATAGTGTTTGAGAGGAGAGACCTCACAATGTTTATATACTAATTTTTTATTCACTGTAAAAGCTAAGTAACCAGAAGTAGAGTGATGTTAAAATGAGCCAAGTGAATATGTATCAATGCAAGGAATAAAGAACAGTATTATGTTCAAGATATATAAAACAAAATGGAAATGCACCTACTTTATTTTGGTCTGCTTTAAGCTATTCTAACAAGGGTATTTAATTGTTGATTTATGTGATCCATAAGGCTAAAATCAAGATTATAACCTTTTGCATACCTCATAAAATAATGTTTTAATTTGAAATAATCAGTCTTGTCTTCTTTTAGCTTAGTCACACTCCTGTCGCCATCAGAGATTTTATAAATACGGTCATTTAGCTGCTTGAAAAGTTTTTATTATTACTGTCCAGAACATTCCTGATTCTTACTATAACCAATAATGATATCGCCTTTTGTATCTTAGTATACTTTTCACTGGCTACATCAGTAGTTATCAGGCGATCAATTTTCTTTCAAGTTGAATAACTTCTTTGACTGATAAGTGAAGTTTTAGCATTTGGGGTGAACCACGTTCCAAAGGTGCTGATGAACACATATAGCAGTTATGTGAAATTAAATATATAAGTAAGCTCTCAAATATGTATGTAGCAAGGTTGGTTACTATTTCATGTACTGGAAGCTCAAAATAACTTATCCTCATATGTCATAGTAATCTTCCTAACTTTTTATGATCTTCATTTATCTGAAATCATTGAGTTTGTCTATTATGTTATTGAAGTGCATAAGCTTGAAAAGGTCTAAAATCATGTGTTTCTAGTTGACGAGTTTACAACACCTTCATACGTGTGGGTAAAAATTAGTGATTCAGAATTATAGATAGAAATATGAATACTCTCGCCGATTGTTCTGGTTAGTAGCTTAGTGGCAAAGCACTTGACTTTCAACCATCGAGTTGTTCGTTTGAAACTCGCTCCACACACTTTGTTTGTGCAACCTGGGAACATGATTCGTTTTCATGCATATAGTCTGATACAACAGCGATTACGTAAAACTGTAGTTGGTAAATAAATAGGTTACCTATTATATACTACTAATATACATATTTTTAGTTGTGTAATGTATTTCACCTGTATCCAGTTGTACTTAAGATCTTTTTCGATTTGCACATAAACACTATACAATTTGCACTGTAGTACCAAGTATTAGACTCTATAAATACACCATTAATTAGATCCCATAACTTTGTGTTGATTGTGAAGCCTTAACATCCAAGAGATATGTATATTTAAATGTTGTTAAAATTCACGATCATGCAGCTTCTCTAGAAATGAACTGCAAAACATACAATAGGTTTTTTTAATATTTCACTTCAAATAATTGCTAAAGAGGGGAAATTTCACTATTTACTATTTGTGAAGTTGAAACATTTTGATTTGTGTGTTTCACATTTTTCTGCCTTTTGATATTCTGCTTTGTTTATTTCGACATAATTAGATTCTAATGTAAGTAGAGCTATTGGCATAAATAAGTTAGGAAACTTGAGAAAATGAATTTTTCGTCAGGTTTCTTCGTTAGCATATAAGATTTGAGATAAAAACAATGGTATGATAAAATTTAAATGATTAGATGACCTTAGTGAAAGTCTGCTGTATATTTTAGTGTAGAAATTATACTATACTGTTCTATCTAATTAATGGTATCATCTTTCTGTCACTATTAATATTTGTTATTAATAAAACCTTCCTTTCTCCCTATTTGTCAACGCATGTTCAATACACTTAGAGCTCACCACTATATATATATATATATATATATATATATATATATATATATATATATATATATATATATATATATATATATATATAGTTACAAGGAAGCCTACGTAAATGTATATTATTTATTTATTTATTTAAACATATAAACATTGGCACAAAGAGACACTAAATAGATACGTGCCACATAAATCATTCGACTTATGTGAGGGCTGGGATACTGCCCGCGTGCCCGAACCGAAGCAGGTGGTTTTCTTAGGGATCCACACGTAAATGTGTATATATCTAGTTCTGTCCTGAAGTTTACCATCTAATTTATATTCACATATTTTAAGAACTGTATATTTTTAAATAAAACGTAACAGTTAATCATGTGCATCTATTAAACATGTATACGTGGACATATTTTCTCTGACTGTTGTTCACAAAAAAACATGTCCATATCTATACATCTGGATATTTCAAAAAGGTCGACTTTTAAGTGGAAAATGTTTTAAAACTGTTGGATAATTTTGTGTGTATAATTAGTGTTCAGTCCTATTTTTGTGCTCTCCAAAAAATGTTTCTCAAGTAACAATCTATCTGTCATGGACTAAAAATTACCTAGTCAAGTGAAAATCAAAAGTTTAAACTAATTAAATGATGTATTCTTATCATGTTTTCGCAATCACATGTGACATGTTATTAAGTCAATCCGATTTGCTTAATGGGTTTTGCTAGTCATATTCTGTCCCTTTTCTTTCAAAACTGTTCATATAGTCTTAAATTAATTTGAAATAAGCAATGTTATTCATATGGGTTGAACTGTCACTGTATAATATTTCACCAACTGTTGATATCCATTTTTACTGTATACGTAAAACCTAACCGGAAATCAATTTTTCAGTTTATCGTTTAGTTTGAATTATCTCCTAGCATTTAACAAGAAGAAAATACTAATTTTTAATCCAACTAAAAATATATCACTTGATATGATTTAGGGATGCTTGAATTTTGTATATTTGTAATGCTTATTATTGAGACGAAGTTCTTTCCATTATTTGTATTATAATCAGTTGGTTGGTACTCGAATTGTGTTGATCAAAAAAGAGAAAAAATTATCTCAATTTAAACAAAAATAGTGTAATTGTCAATGTAGGTTTGTGGAAATTATTGAATTTCATTGAAATCATGAACCGATCTATGTTAGATCGTCATTGTAAACGTGGAAGCACTGGACGGCCGTTTCGCTCTAGTATGGGACTTCACAGTAGAGCACATCCACGATACCGCACACGGGGATTAAACCCAATACCTTCGGTCTCGCAAGCGAACGCTTAACCTGTAGACCAATGAACCTCCATCCAACAGCGCTATTATCCAACTTCAAACAATTTACAACATTGCGCGAAATGACCGTTCAATTCATCTGTGTTTTCAACGGCGGTCCAACTTAGATCGGTTCATGATTTTAATAAAATAAGTGTAAGTTGATAAAATGAAATGAATATACAGTTTAAAATAATTGTGATTAAGAAACTACCATTTAGAGAAACAATCAAAACAAGTGAGCATTGGTCAGTAGCATTTATCCTACTTTACATTAAGAGACCTCAAAGTAAGTCTTTTTTTAGATTTCTTCCAGTTAGTTCAATTCCATTTACGTGAGCTACTGTACTTTTGTAAATGTCAATTCATCACTAATGAGATATGACTGTGCATGTGTCTTCATAACCTCACCGTCACGCTACACAATCGATTTATTCAATAAATGTGTATATAAGAAGTTTTTAAAGTAAACAGAGTACAAGAATACACATTTTATCATTTCTAGAAGCTTACCAAGACTTAAATAGATTTTCTGACAGCTGTTTTAAATGATCAACAGTACACATAAATTAGTTGTTTTCTGTATCTGTTTCTAGTGACTGTATATATATATTTGTTTATTAAAACTTCATGTATTTTTATATTTTTAAAATTGGTTTTTAAAGTTATTGTAAATCAATGTTAAAAAATTTACAAGGTTACATTTTGTGTTGTTGACAACAGTTGTTCAAGATTTTTATTTCTAACCTGAAATTGTTTCTTTTGGTGCCTGTACACACAAACTTTTCGACAGGCAATTATTTGTCATACTTTTATGTGAATGAGATACTGTTTTTCTCGTGATTAAAATGTTCTAACTTAAGTATGTGTTCATTACTAATTGATTTTAATCGATATTATACATATTGCGACATTGTATGTTACAGTTTGTATTAGTCATTAGGTTTTATCTTTCAAGAAATCCAATGGCTTCTTTTTTTTCTCTAAGTAGTTTATATTTTTCATTGAAAAATAATATATCAATAAGTTTACGATATGTTTTACACTTTTGTTATTTTCTACTTTTGTGCATAGTTTCTTTCATTAGATGTCGATAATACTGACCTTATTTTACTCGAAGTTGTTTAAATGGTCTGATATTTATAAGTTATTTTCATTTGACAATAATGACCACTTACTGTAAGATTTCATTATACTAATTAACATTATTTATTCATTATGTGAATATACTGTAGGTTTCGGCCTACTAGATGCAGCTTTAGAGCTCTCAATTATATTATTTCAAAAAAGAATGGGCACAAAAATAAACTATGCGACTAAGAAAAGGAGTATAATCAAAACAGACAAATAAATAAAGATAAGTACATTTAAAAAGTTGAAATTAGGAAGAATTCTTTCATTCGAAAAAGTTTCTTTCACTTTTGCGAAGAATGTAGGAAAAAAGCTGTAGCGGGAACGTCTTTATCTTATATCTTGAGCCATGTTTAATAACGTCTATGAATCCAACTGTAGATTCGTGATGGGCCGATTAATTCCAGTCCAATACAGCTTTCGTTCAAACCTCGACACTATGTCATAATTTAACCACCTCTCCGATTTTTCTACCCAATCCTACTGTTGGAAAAGAATGTTTAATACAGAATTCTCTGGGATAGCATTCGTAACACATCTAAACCATCGAAACTCGGTATTTTGAAACGGTATCACCGGTTTCTTATTTTATTTAGGTCATACATTAATTGTTTGTTTCCTTACTAGTGACTTGTTTATCTTAGGGAGTCGCACTCGTTAAAATATGCATGTGAGTATTTTTTTCTGTACTATTAACGAGGTGTTTTTCCCAGAATAGAGCAGTTTTCTTTGCGACTATTTTCATCAATTGATTATATTTCATGGTGAAAAAATCACTTTAAGTTGCTAACTCTCGCTGATTATTTATTTCGGAGGAGGGATTTTCCAACGTAACATCCTTTAAACTTATATCCTTAATTCAGCAGACATTCTCGGGATTCGATAAAATCGTAGTGTAAATGATTTCGAGTTTTTTAAGACCTTGATATATGAGAGATATTATTAAGAGCAGCATCTAACGATTAAACTCATTATTCAGTTACAATAAAAACAGTTTTTAATACCATCCAGATTCATATCGCCAAGTATTTTTAAAACGTTTCTTTTAATTTTAGTTCTATATAACGGAAGCTCATCGATTCCCGACCGTCGTTCAACTAATTGAGCACCATTCTCGTTCTGCTGATGGTTTGGTTTGTCCACTTCTTTATTCAGTACCGAAACCGCAATTTTTAAATCAACCCATGCAACAATCTTGCTACTCATCTGTCCCTCAAACACTACCCAGTTCAAGAATACCTGGTCAAAATCAATTTGAAGTCAATCCCATTGTTCATCAATCAAATGCTGAAATATCTAACTTCCCTTTAACTCATATAAATCCCGTATCACATGTGCCCAGACCATTTCATCCAAGTCATATAAACAATTCAGAAAGATTAAGTGCTTGTAGTGATTCTATCGGAAGTATGGAATTTGATGGATGGGAAATTGATAGGTCCGAAATTATCATGCGTCAAAAATTGGGTAAGTGAACAGGTTGTTATCTTTTATAGGTTTTTTAATATTTGTCAATGATTATCCAGAGAATTTAGATTTGTTTTGTTATACATTTGCATCTTTTCTCTTCTAGTTAGTCAGTATATTGATGAGGAGACGAATTTATTGGAGGATGACTTGACGAGATCGCAGGATAATTAATCTTTTACTATTTATTCTAATCCGAAACTTAACATTTTGCATATAATTCTATTTTCACGAGTTCTCAGTTTACAATAAAAAGTAATTTGTTTCGATTTCTGGTCGACCATTCAAGCAATGTGATGTGACTAGCTTAAATAATAACATTGTTTAATATAAGTTTCATCAAGGTATCTTTCGTTTTGGTCTTTGAAGTGTTTTAAGTTTTATTCTTTCACTTAAGATTCTGTCATTTGAACTTACAACTTTTATTTACTCATAGCGGTTAATCTATTCTTTTTATTATAAGTGGTATAAAGATTTCACAAACATTTTTGTATTATCGTAGACAATGTAAACCTTATTTATTCGCAAAACTACTGTAATGTTGATCAGTAACGGAACTATGTTTCTTCTATATAGCTCATGTAGAAACCGACTGGGTTATTTTATTCAATTAAAAGAAAGTGAATTATTTTCCTGTTCATTGGTATTCCTAGATTTTTCGTTCCATTTATATTGCATAGTTCATTGACATAGGATGAAAAATAATTGCATATAATGATGAATGGTGACTTTCTCTTGAAGTATCTAGTGTTCAAATTTGGCATATACATTAGTTAAATATACCAATTTATTTTAATTTGATAATTTGTCTTTATCGACTGGTTTGTTGACTGGTTAACTTCAATATACTAACATACTTTCAGTTTGAAACGGTTTTTATTATCCCGTTGTTGCTATTTTTGACTGAAATCTGATCAGTCTCGGATTGCACTGTTAGCTAAATTTCATCTGTTTTATGTTAACCTACTTTGCCATATTAGTTATTTTTTATTTATTTACTAAACAGATGTCATGTGCTCAACTTGGAGTCAAAATTTTTGTGTGACAGCTAGTGATAATAGCCAGTTAACTCTAACTGAGATATCTAAACTAATATTCAAACTAACTACCTGGTATCTAAACGTCAGTTTAATTAATAGGCCATAGGTATTTAAGAATCAGTTTGCATAAGTGGTTATCCCTTTCAACTAATTAAATCATCGCGTTTTGTGGAAGTTAATCACATGACTTAAGAACATACGAAATGTAGGTTAATAAAAGGTATGACATAAAGAAAGTTATTTTTCTGAGTGGATAGTGTGAACGAATATACTATTTGGACTCTTTTAAAAAGGAATGCAAACATGAGTGCTATATTCTCAAGCAAGTACCTAATGCTTCATGTGACCTAGTAATTTCCACTTCTAAAAGTTTTTGTCAAGTAGAGATGTATTTGTCTATCTACTTATTGCTAAATAACCATCATATTATCCTGTGCTCATAAGTATGATATATTATCAACTAAAATGATCGACCACTTCACATTACGGCTAAATTAACTATCATCTTAAATTTTTCATGACACAACGTAAAGATGTCTTTCGTTATATTATCATGTCTTCACTGGTTACTAGCTTCGAGACGAAATTTCCGGAGTTCTATTGCGAAGTCATGACCAGTGAAGCTCAGCCATTTCGGATGTGAGGATGGTATCCACCAAAGATAATAAAATGTGGTTGCGCAATATTATGTATTGATTAAAGTTGGGCTTGCCAACTATTGAATTCGGAATTACCAGTTTAGAGGTTGATTCCTTACTACGAAACCGATGGTACTTGGTTCAGTCTCCAGTCGTGGATGCTCACTGATGGGAAATCTTATATCAGAATGAAACAGTTGTCCAGGGCTTCCAGGTTTTCAATGATTATTTAACTTTGATCAGTTCCTGATGTCAGTAATATTCAACTATCTCCATGACCTCCATACTGATAATATTTTCCAGTTCTCCGTTTGTACGTAAATGCACAGAAAACAATGAGGTACAACGAACTCATTATAGTTCTTGCCAAGCTTATTCTTCTTACTTTACAAATGCGTAACAATCAGTCCCAATATTACTGGTTAGCTAATAAAAGATAGTTATTTAGAAACTTTTTAAAGGTACAGTACTTCGTTCGGCATTCGTCTGCTTAAGCAGTTATTTTAATATTTATTATCCACAAGGCTGTTATTCCGTGTGCAATCGTATTTCAACAAACATAAGCCTTAAATTATTTTTTGTTGTTTTTGTTGCTTTGTTTAGGCTGTGGTCAATATGGTGATGTATATGAAGCTGTATGGAAACGTTTTAACTCTGTTGTTGCAGTAAAAACTCTGAAAGTAAATCAATTGCTTGTTTTCGACTTTTCTTGTGGTTTTCATTTTTGTCTTATTTGTTTCTGTACTGTTTTATGAGTTTAGTAACTAAGTATATGACCTCATTTGGTCAGATTCCAGTTACACAGTTTACAGTATGGTGTCTAGTGATGCTAGCTAGCTTCTGAAATTGCAGCTAGGTGGGGCTGTTACCTGCAAGTATATAGTTGAAATTCGAACGCATTTGTCATAGGACCACTGAATCACCTTTGGTTTTTTACCCAGCTAGTGGCACTAGGCATCATACAAAGACTGCGATTTAGAGTTGATCACATATACACACACACTTGCATTTTTTGTGCACAAAGCTTTTGTGATACGATTAATTGTTTATCTTAATAATAATAGATATTTGAGTCAATGTATTTCTATCATACCATAATACTTGTTTTCCTAAATATGATTGGGTTGTGTGGGGCTAAATCTGATAATTCATTGACAATAGTGGTTTGCTAACTGTCATGATTGAATTTCATAATAGTCAGACAGTCAGACACACATGAAAAACTTCGGATCTGGAGGACACAATTTGTATTTGTCAAATTTACAGTTCGTTTATAAGTAGTAGTACACTATCATATGAAATGAGACCAAGTATATATAGGTAGACAATTTTATTCGACAGTTTTCATAATACAATCTAAAATATGTGCATGGTATGAATGTGTATGTATGAACTATTTTCGAGATTGTTAATACTGATATTGTACTGGGTAATAATGTGGTTTGTTTAACAACCATTAATTGATTGATTGTTAACTAAATGTACAAGATGAATCCGGTTTGTTTCCAGTTCATTTTATGTTGGATGATGATATAATCAAGCTATTGCATGTTTTAACAAATTGATTAAATGATATGTGTTTTTCTGTTGTATGTTGAAAGTCACGAAAAAAGAATATGTATTACTTTAAAAGTTATTCAGGAAAACATATTATGGAAGAAAACAATCAAAGTTAATTGTACTTTTTAAAGTATACACGAATTTATCTATTCTCTTATTCGTTGCATTTTGTTCATGGTCAACTTTAGAAATACTTGTCAGTGAGAATAATATAATCGCTTCTTTCGAATTTTATTTTTTGACTGACTAATCTCAATTCATGTTTATTCTTTATTACTATTAATTTATATCCAACTCCTTCATTACGCAATCAGTTATTACATATATATACTTCAATAAATTATTGTTACTATGTCTGATGTGATTTAAGATTTCCTCTCACATATTTTATTTATTTAAAACACTTTATATTACTTCAGTTTCATTACTCTCATCACAGTGATACATATCCAATTTTACTGTAATGGGTATGAAAATTTTATGGTAGTTTTTATTTTAAAATATTATAAGTTTTAAGTATCAGCTAATGAAAAACTAACGAAATAGAATGAATTCATGTTATTCTATTTGTTCTTGCTCTCCTGAAGATAATGAAATAAACTAAGTGTATGTAAAAATAATAATCTGTTTACATTTTCATTTTAGTGAATCATAGTGTAACATTGTGTATAGGTTGTTCTACTCGATTCTGATCTACGCTTTGTACATGCATATTAGTTTGTATGTAATTTATTAGTGATAGTATATGGTTAATAGTTTCAACTTAAATGAATTTGCAGCGTAGGAATTAAAAGTTATTGTAGAATCATCGTAAAGCTACTTATTTTGCAATTATTAATACTGATTAAGTAGTCTTCAATATAATGCAGGGGGAAACTTTTACAGTCAAAACCACTGATATCAAATATAGATAATCATGCTATCATTATTCATTTAAGCTTGCATTATTATTCACAATTATTTACCATAGTATTATTATTATTATTGTTATTATTATTATTATTAATCATTAATATCAAATTAAAATTGGTACATATATCTGTGGCAGGTTTTTCTAAAGAAAATTTTCTGTCATAACTTATTGAGCAAAGGCGGATGTAGATTACCGTTACGTGTTAGTTTACTGGAGATTTTAAATTATATCTGCTTAATTGTAGTTTATAATAGTATATATTCCTTTTAATTCATAGCAGATCAGTTCGAGTTTGCAATGGATTACCTATTTGGTTATAATGTCGATTGTTTTAACCATTTCATATTATAGATTTGTTCACATAATGTTATATGCAACACTTAGCAACCTTGTACTATTTATTCCTTCCTTATGGATAAATTTAAATTACCATTGTTAATCATTCATCATTGCTTTAATACATACTGTCATTAGGAGTCATTCATTACACCCGTTCACATTATAATGCAAGCTTACTTCATCCCTATTTGTTAGTACGATTTTCTAATAATAATTCTTGTAAATAGTTATATTTTAATGTTTTTTTTTGTGAGTAAAGTGTTGATAAAGCGAATCACATAATGGATTCTGTGCGTTATTGATCTATGAATTTTTCTTCTGCTAAACTTATAAACAATTAGCGTGAAACACGTTTTCCCTATTCAGAGCTTATATGATTTTTCTTTTGCTTTTATTTAAAAAAAAATAATTTTATAGCAAGATGTTAATTTGAATGTCAATGATTTTCTCAAAGAAGCTGCTATTATGAAGAAGTTACGTAATAGGAATTTAGTTCAATTATTAGGTATGTTTTTGTTGTGGTTCTATTCACTTTTTAATGGTTTTATATTCATAAAATGTATTTAATGGTCAAGTAAAGTTGGTTTTGAGTAATTTCATTTTGTTTGCCATTATATTTTTCGATGAACATTTTTTATTCGTCGAATATGGTCACTCTCTTCAAATTTTTAAATGAGAGGACACTTTCCCTAATCCATTTTGTTTTTTCTATAATTTTTTAATGAAAACTATTGGATCAAAAAATTTATTTTACGAACGTAGTAGTGAGAATGTAGAAAATTTAATTTTTCTCAAGACAATATATTGAATGAATATATTAAACTTTTCTGTTTTAATTTGTATATCAAAATATTTCGTTAGAATCTTTCAAATAAGCATTTAATTAATTTTACTTGCAAACTTTTTGATTGGAGTTTACTAAACAATCGTGATATGTGCTGAAAGGCTTTAAATAACAATGGGTCATGATCGATTGTAGTGGCACAGATTCACTCAAATGCCCTGGTACAGCCGAGAGTGGGGAGAGTCCGCTCTCCCTCTCGAAATACTCTCACACGGCCACGCGTATATAGCCTCTGCCAGGGAAGTCCTACTCACTGCCTTCTCGTGGTGGGGGTGTTGTTTACGAAAATGAGAGGACGAAAAGCGAATGTCCGGCGCTTTAACCGGATTCCAAACCAATGGTGCACATGGGCTCCAGTATCCTGCGGGAACAAATGGCGAATGAACCAATCGTTGGTCACCGGCTTCCATGGGACTGTATCTCCTTACGATGCTCCACTGCCTTGTGGATCAGACCTTCAGGTTGAAGGCTCGGGGTGTGGCCGCCTAATAAAACCACCTGTTTCGGTTTGGGCACCCGGGCAGTATCACAGCCCTCACACATATCGAATGAGATTTGTGTGGCGCATATGTATTTAGTGCCTCTTTGTACCAATATCTATGTGTTGAAATAAATAAATAAATAAATAATAAAATAACTTTTGATAAATCATACTTTTTGACACTAGTTTGTTCCTGTGTTTGTTTTACTATCATTGATATTATCAGTTCAGAACCTTTGATTTTCATTTAATTCCGTGTTTATGTGAATACAGTATGCAGCCATCATCTATTACCTACCATCCATCGTTTCACACTCAACAGGATTGAACTTCATTGACCTGTCACAACTTCTCACTAGAACTCTAGGAATCAACCTTTGAATTTATTGACTGGTGCGCGGATAATGATTATTATTATAGGGTTTTCGGGAACTTTTCTTTCAAAATGTACAATGTGCTTTCTGAATAATAAATGAAGATTTATTTTTCTGGTTATTGATTATCGTGATCTCATCATAATTTCACTAGATCTTGATGTTGAAAATATAACTTATTGTTTCTGCACTTTTTGAATGAATTCTTGAACTGGGTTCTGTTTAAGGGACCTAAACATGAACTGCCAACGGTATAATACTAGTGCAGATATACTGAAAGAAATATGCTCAGTTCATTGTCCCTTAAGTTTAATTTTCTTTAATGATGATCTTTGAAAAAAAATATTAAAAATATGTATATTTTCTATCGTCCTTTTATTTTGTTTATTTTTACTGTTCTATTTAGGCGTATGTACTCGAGAACCGCCTCTTTACTTAATTACGGAATATATGCCAAATGGGAATTTATTGAATTATTTACGTACACGTAGTCCAGGTGAACTCACCCCGCTTACTCTACTTTATATGGCTGTTCAAATCGCCTCTGGAATGGCGTATTTAGAAGCTAATAATTTTATCCACAGGTAGGTAATGTCACTATTGTCTGCATCGTGTTATTTTACTTATTAGTAGAATTACATTGAATTCAATGTAACTTATCGATGTTATGTGGTGCAAACGTTAGTTTATAACGTTAATCCTAATAAGTATTTTAAATATTGAAATTTAGTTAGTATCATGGGTTAGTCATTAAACCCAAATTATTAAATCATTCCGGGAATCACATGATTGCAAAATACTCATTATTTACTGATACAGTGAACCAATCAGAAGTAGCTGGATGCCAAGGTCGGTCGATGGCAATCAAAATTGACCTACAGGACAAGTATATTTCATTGGCTAAGAAATAGATCAATTATATATATCAAAATGGGTTTTGTGGAGATTTTAGAAATTTCACTGATTGGAATCATGAGTCAATTGAAGCTAGACCACCATGGAAAACCTGGAAGCACTGGACGGCCGTTTCGTCCTAGTATGGGACTCCTCAGCACTGCGCACCCACGATCCTACACTCCGCGATATTCGAACCCGAGACCTATCAGTCTCGCGCCAGGCGCGAGTGCCTCCAGGTTTTCCATGGTGGTGTAGCTTCAATTGACTGGTGATTTCAATTAGTGAAATTATATATATATATATATATATATATATATATATATATATATATATATATATATATATATATATATATATATATATATATATATATATATATATGCATTTTATTCAGTAGCCCAATGTACTTTCTTCCTACTCTTGTTCTCGCTCAAGTAGTCAATTGGGGGAGCGGTTAGTGTGTATCGGTATCATATTTTGGACACCGTTCACCATAACATTTACTCTACACTGTAATTCAGTACCAGTAGAAAAAAATACTTTAGATAACGAAAAATTACATAATAAAATTAGGACATTTTTTAGAATACTCTATATTACATGAAACTATTTCATCCAAAATATTTTATTCATAGAATTAAGGTATTATTGATGCAGTAGTGATAACACAAAATACATTTTTAAGGATAATATACTTACATTATAAAGATATCATTATATAACAATCCTATGCTGATTACCTTTAGATATTGTAGTTTATTTGGTATATGTATTCGTATTGTTAGTTAATTTAATAATGTGAATCTATTTTCAATATATGTCTTATCAGTAGTCATTCAATTTTTTTAAAAATCTTGTAAACTAAATAATATTTTTGTAAAAGGTTTTATTTATTATTTTATTTTACTTTTTTTCTTAGGGATTTAGCTGCTAGAAATTGTTTAGTGGGTGATCAACATTTGATCAAAGTTGCAGATTTTGGCTTAGCACGTTACATGCAACGGCAAGATACTTATACTGCTCGTAATGGTGCTAAATTCCCTATTAAATGGACTGCTCCTGAAGGTCTTTCTTACTATTTGTTCTCATCAAAGTATGTTGTTTTTGTAATTAAAAAGAAACTTGTTTAATGTTGGTTTTTATTAAATTTAATGCATGACGTGTTTTGTTAGTGATTTGTAAATAGCCATACTGGACATCACTGAATTTTACAGAACTCGTTTTTTATTGCCGTTGAATGTATAACATAGTTTAACTCATTTAATTAAATATATTATAAAAGAATGCAACTTAATAATGTTTACAATTGTAGGTTGGTAATTTTAAGTACTGGATTAAAACCACTCGCTGATGAACTCTGCTTAATAAAATATTTTATCTCTATTGTTTTAATCATCTATTGCCTCTAATTTGATATCTGGTGACTCCATTATTATTATTATTAATTTTATCATATACATCAATTAAATCCATTATTCCATTATTTCTTTTATCTTAAACATAAGTTCGAAAATGTAGCATAATTTATGTTTTATAATTTCTCTCGAATTCATAAGCATTAACATTGTATGGTGGTTTCTATGTTATAAGTTTGTAATCGATTCAAGGGTTTTAAATATCAACTTAAGTTTGTATTTTATCCTTTAATATTTAAAGAGATATTTTTTAATCTGAAGCTGAAGCATCAGATGGATAAACAGTGGAAACTAGGAAGCAACAAATGCCTGTATCGTACAAGTTTGGGACTCCATAGTAATTCATATTTTCTACCACTACGGGATTCGAATCGACAACTGCATCTCTGTGCTAATGTGTTATGGCAACTCGAACTGATGTACGTACGTACGAAGTTCTATGTTGTTACTGACTGACTGATATTCCCAGCCTAACACGGCACCAAATCCAGCACATCTAAGTTTTGCTACAACCATATTATGTTTAGGCCAATAAGTTGAAATCTAGTCCTCTAAATTTCTCTTATCAATCAGCTTGTTATATGGTATATGTTTTCCCTTTTCGACGTCATCTGTGAGTTACTAATAGGTTGACTTAATAAATCACTACTTATTATTTACTCAACTCTGTCAAGCATGCGTTTTTGCTGATTATCTTCAACCACCCGACACTAAATGATGAATTTTGTTTAGAACTAGTTGTTAAGCCAACAACTATGACTACTTTAATTTGTGGAGATGGTTCGTTTTCTGCTAGACTTAATTACGGCTCTTATACCTCCTCACAGCCCGAATTTTATCACCAACCTGTTCATTTAAGTTTGGAGGATATTTTCTGGTATTTTTTAGTATGGAGTGATGTCACTACCAACGTGCTTCTCACTTTAAACTTCTTGGTGTCCACTCCAAGCTGAGGGAAACCATGTTGTAGATTTCACAAGCTAGCAGGTAGCAAAAGCCCACTTTACTTGACCGACCGTAATCACAGTTAAATGCATCCTGTAAAGTAAAATGTATTGTCGTTGCTATACACGATATGATTCACTAAACAAGTGTCTATACAGTTCAGAATAAGGTCAGATGAATATATAAAGGAACTCTTAGCCCTAAATTGTATATAAGTCTATGTTCCTTAAACAATGTAAAATGAGTGTTATGAACCACAGTGCATACATATAGCATGAAAATTAACACCAGCCTTATTTTTTTGTAGTAGGCCAGGTGACTAATTCATCAGTGAATTTTAATTGAAAGAGAGGTATCAGGACTGTCAACAGATTCATATAACATCACGCTTTGCGAATCACATATTCTCATGATGAAACAATTAAATAAAGATTTGTTCATCATTATCCTTTACCAAAATAAAGAAAATAAATAACGTTGTTACATTTGCGTTGGTTTATACTGGGAGGATGACAATAAAGAATTTGGTGCAAATTGATTGTAATGTGTAAATGTAATTCTTTTCTTCTTTCTATAAATAAGTTTAATGGTTAATATTATAATGTTGCGCACAGATTCCATTTCGGTACTACATTCATTTGTGCATGTGAACATACACACATTTGTTTATGAAAGGCGACAAACCATCAATGAATGGATTTCTTTCTTTAATGTTCACAAATAATACATCTTGACTAGATAAGTTCATTTTAAATATAACTAAAATTGCTAATTAACCCTAATCGTTAGGTAAATAAGTTTGTCAATAATTTATTGTCTAATAAATTATCTGTTGTGTACCTGTTTTTGATTAGTTTGTTACAAGTCAACTGGTTTTGTTAGAGTTCTGATATTTTTCATAGCATGTATTGTTGTCTTATTAATAATCTTCAGGTAGTTTTTTTTTAACGACCATACCTATCATATCAGTAGAAATAACAACCGATCACATGTATTAATTTTCAAATAAAATATCATCGAAACCTATTGTGCACATTAATCATTCTAACTAAATTAATTGGTGTATATATATAGCAGACGTAAGAGTTACATAAGAATGTAACCTATTCCACTGAAATGTTTTTTCATAAGTATTTTCAGAAAGTCTTGGAATACTATTCTCATTCGTTTATGTGATATTACTGCAGGATTTAGGGGTTAGATTTATTAGCGTATTTAGTTGAAATATAAAAAAATTATAGTGTACTCTCTTTTGGCTGATTTTCATCGTTTACTGACAAATAAATTCTTTGAAAATAGTATTACATAGAGATAACATGTCAGTTGCTGAGATTTAATAATAAACCTTCTTCAACTGTGTTAATTGGGCTATATATAATGTATACTATGTCACCGCCTACTCCATATTTCAATACTAGTCAGTGTAGAAGTAGACATACAGAGAGCTTACTAATAATTGAATCAGTTCATAAGTGTCATTGATACATATTAAGATATATTTTTTGTAACTGATTATATTTCTTTTATCGTTTTATGTACATTTTTGTAGATCGGATGTATGGGCGTTTGGTGTAGTCCTATGGGAACTTGCCACCTATGGTCTTTCACCTTATCCTGGAGTTGAATTGCATGATGTTTATCATCTTTTAGAGAAAGGTTACAGAATGGAACGGCCACATGGATGCCCAGAAGCAGTTTATTCTATAATGCTAAGATGTAAGTAGTTATATTTTTCATCTTTTCTATTCACTACTAATATTATTGCCGCTTCTTATCACTAGTACGTCAATCATTTTTGTTCCCAGTTTGTAGAATTTCAATCTGTGCTTCTTTAAAAAAAATCCATATCCACCGAATCAATGCGATTTTCTTTTTTTTGTAGCTTAGTGTATGTCAGCATGTTTTCTCTGTTGTTGTGTTTATCGATAGCTCACTAATGAGGATGTCCCTAAGTAGTTGTTATTTACTGATTAAAAAGAACTTATTTTCTTTGTTAAAATTGATGTATAAAACATAGTAATAACCATCATTTTAGTGGTAAATCTGTATTTTTTCAGATTATTTCTCAGACTGATATATATAGGTCTGATATGTCATTCTATGCAGTATTATCTCTAAATCCAATCAACTAGTCGTTTCAAATTTTATTGATGTCACGAACCAAGTTAAGTTAAACAACCATTGAAAACTTAGGAGTACTGAACAACTATTTTTTCTTAGTATATGAATGCTTAACATTGTACATTTATGACCTCACTACTGATTGAAGTCAAAATCTTCGGTTTCAAAATTTCTTAAATTTTTCCGTGATTATCTCTGTTTTAGATGTTTTTGACTGATCTAAACTTGAATGGTTGCGTTTTTCTTGTTCATTTTTTATGAAAAATTGTTTGTTACTAATCTTTTTTAAATCGGAATGTCTTTCCTGATAAAATGACATTCACTTTTTTCTTAACTTCAGTTTTCGCATATCTTTAGTAAATATTAGAACTATTCTTTATATTGGTGAGATTGAACTCCTTGTGTTTTTGCCCTTTAATTTCTGAAATATTTTAATTTGTTATCTGATGAATGTAGTATTCTCTTCATCATTTGAATAACATGTCAATATGGTGATTTGTGCTTTAAAAATATCAATCTATCATGCTCCACTTCCACATCAGCGTAATGAAGAGAGTATCACCAAAAGAAATACTATAAGAAATACAAGTTATAATAATAAATAGCTTATAAAACTAAGTATAACCGTGAAATGAAATCAATGAATTTGTTGAATAACAATAGGTGTACTATGTGAAACCGAATGAATGTGCCTGTGTCGTTCCGACTAACTTTGAAAAGTTTTCATAACTGTTTCACAATTACTTTTTATACTTTGAATGTCAATGTAATATTCTTCCACAGAACAAACATTTGTGGCTCGGTCGACTGATTCCAGTTTAATTCTTCTTCCTTTCTTCACCCTACTGTAACATTAAGGTCGCTAAAACTGATAGGATCTCATTAATTGATCTCGTTTTACTTAGGTGTTGTTTAAATACAGTGTCTGATATATTTTTGATATATAAACTAAATTTTTTTATTCTATCTGATTCAGGTTGGTCTTGGGATCCAAATTTGCGGCCTTCATTCAGTGAAATCCATGCAGAACTAGAACAAATGTATACAACTATGAACATTGAAGCTGGTAAGCTTGAATCCCTACCTAACCAGTCTAATATGATAGCTCTTTTATCTTAATAACTAATTCGATTTTCTTATCTACTCATTATATATATATATATATATATATATATATATATATATATATATATATATATATATATATATATATATTTGGGCAGTGTTGTAATTTATTTTGTCTTCATTAGGTTTGTAATAAGTCATCACACTATCGTTGAATTGAATTTTTCTTGTTTAACATAGTAGGTACGAAATTTCATGCTGCCTTAAAAGCTGTTATTATTTAAGCGTAGATGCATGAGTGTTAACCAAGTGTTCTGTTAATCTTTATATGCTTCAGCGTGTACTGCTTTAAAAAGTGCCTATTATTTGTCTATGGTTATTATTAGTTACATTGTTATTTTCAAAGTATTAAATTCCATAGAATTCCTAATAGTATGCTCATGCAGTGATTTTGTGTCGTCGTCACATGTGAGTCTGTAAGTTCGAATTCCACATAGCCTATTTTCATTTGGATAACTGGGTATTGTCATTAACCCTTACATACAAGCAATCGATTCGAAAACTGACTACCCAAACCTATATAGGATGAGTAACAGTAATGAACTTATTAACGTACGTACTTGATATGTCGATTGACTAAATACATCAAAAGCCAAACATAATCATTGAATGCTCTGTTTCTCTCCTAGTTCATTCGTTGTGTAATGAATCATTGTAAGTATAGTTGTTGACAAGTTTCTAACACTGTATTCGGAAAAAAATTGTTTTCTAATTTACTATATATTAGTTATTGTTGTTTGTAATGTTCATACTTAACGACATTGAATTTAGTATTGTGCTTGACATACTGTGCCGTGAAATAAGCGTTAACATGTACACCTAGGATTCTGTTTTCACTCAATTTAGAGTGCATTAAAATTGATTTTCTTATTTAACCTGTCACACTGTTCTACTACATTGTGATAATTAATGAACCAATATACTTTTCCTTATTCAAATCACTATTCAATCGATTCCCGTAAGTAGTTCCATTAATGAATAATAATAATCGTAGTAATTATCTGATGCATATTATATGACTGTTAGGTGTTAATTTTATTTCACTAGTATTTTATTTTATCTAGTTAAATATTTCTTATCGGTTTAAATTTTTTGGTGCAGTTTAATTATCTTATTTAACATATTGTTTAATTTACTGTACTTTAAGAGAAATCAACTTAAACGAAGAAAAAGTTTTCTCGATTAAACTTTCATCAATCCCCAATACTAAAACAGAACTTTATACTTGAATGTGAAGAATCAATACAAATTAATTAGTTGTGAGTAGATTAACACAGTAATGATAATAAAATACTCAAGAAATAGAATTCTAATTGGTTGATCATTAAGACTGATTACACAACAATGAAGATGTAAACAATGTAATTCGTTACTCGGATTGATTACATAAAGACGGAGAAAAATAACGGAATAACTAATGTAAACATGTATTTAGAATTGTATGGGTGTGTTGATTCTTGAGAGTAATTGCATGTCAATATTAATAATGCAAAATGTGAGAGATATGTTTGAAATCAGTTTGATGGTGAGGATAAGGCGTGAGAGGCTGTGTACACACTTTTTCTTGATGGAGAGATCAGGTTTATCAAAGTGGATTCCTATGTTAACTAAAGAAGAACAGTTGATGTATTTAACCATTTTCGTTTCCTATATGGAATCAACACTAATTTTATGGAATAAGAATAAAGTGTTAGGTTTTACCATTTCTGTTATAACAAGACGATTATTATACAGATTATAACTGATCAAACTTGTTTTTAAATTATTGTTATCTTATATATTCTTATTGTACGATTACTATGTAACTAGATTATTATATTTATAAATTCTATTTAATATAAGCTTCTGTTGAACCCATTAAGTGTTATTGTACTGTCTATAAGTCCTATTCTGATACCGATCGATTATTCAAGGCTGGCCCCGTACACAGCCACTATTGGTTTGTATATTCTTGTCATTTTTCGTTTTATGGTCCGATTCAGTCCAGTATGTTTGTATATGAACCCATATATTTTTGAAATCTAGTAATAAGAGAAGCTGTTTGTTGACTTTTCAGACTCAAGATAGGACATAGAGAAAAACTTGCGAAAAGGTAATCGACAGGAGGTTATCTGCGTCCACTCACGATCAATGATACTAGTCAGGCGCGTAACTAATCAAGTCTCGGATATTTCACTATAGAAGAAATAGTAGACGTGAAACAGACAAAATTAAAATTAGAATTTTGATTGGCGACTTCAGCATGTGATATTGGTTAGCGTCTCAATGCATAACCACCTTTGTGTGTGTTTGCCGATCCTACGAGTTCTGTGAAACCAGTTACACTGAGCGTACAATGAGTCAAGCCCATCACCGTATTACGGAATATCGTACTTCATAAATAAACAAAAAATCAGGAAAAGAATAAGAAACTATATCTTGACACATCTGGTCGACACTAGTCGTCAAGTCGATGTCAATGTGACATGAAAAATGATATATCGAATTCCATAAAATTCACATACTTTCAGATGTCGTTTCTTACATTCAGTGAAATCTATAGGAATCCACTTTGATAAACCTGATCTCTCCATCAAGAAAAAGTGTGTACACAGCCTCTCACGCCTTATCCTTACCATCAAACTGATTTCAAACATATCTCTCACATTTTGCATTATTAATATTGACATGCAATTACTCTCAAGAATCAACACACCCATACAATTCTAAATACATGTTTACATTAGCTATTCCGTTATTTTTCTCCGTCTTTATGTAATCAATCCGAGTAACGAATTACATTGTTTACATCTTCATTGTTGTGTAATCAGTCTTAATGATCAACCAATTAGAATTCTATTTCCTGAGTATTTTATTATCATTACTGTGTTAATCTACTCACAACTAATTAATTTGTATTGATTCTTTACATTCAAGTATAAAGTTCTATTTTAGTATTGAGGATTGATGAGAGTTTAATCGGGAAAAACATCTTTTCTTCGTTCAAGTTGAATTTTCAATATCTAAGTTTAAATAAGTTATTTTACATGTTTTTATAGGTTGTGCCATTCTATCCATCTATGGAAGGTCACTAGTTTTACTCATCCATTTTTCATATCATTTTACCACTTGGCTTTTTTTTTTACATAGGTGGAGATAAAAATTTGATATTATGTTTTCAAAGGTTTATTTTTCGTAGGATAAATGACGTAGACCACTAGGTAGATTTCGAAATATTTCAATAAATTATATTCATATATATATTCTCATGTATATCCATCACTACTAACAGTTTTTCATGTGACTATTATACTGTAATATTTGATTCTATTTTATTATGTGTTCCAAAATAGGCACTAGCCTTCACGTTGTAGTCTTTGTTCTTCATCAATATATCATTAATCAATCAGATTGTAAGACACATCTCATATATTTTACATGATTATTGATTTACTTTAACCCATGTGGTTCTTTCCAGCATTATTCCTTACATATATGTTACAAACTGGACTCCGTGTTCATGATGTTACCTATCTATTTAATTCTTTCTCACCATCTTGTATAACATTGTCGAGCTGTGTTCCAAAAGCCAAGTGTTTGTGGTTCTTCGTTTATTGTCATCTGTTGTTGATTATATCTGATAGTTCAAAACTGTACGAAGTTTCAGTTTTCTTTCTTAATAAGGAGAAAATTTCTGTGTTCAATTTCGTATAGGCATATAATAGAATAATTTCGTTTAGTATGTGTTTGTTTGTGTTACTCCATACTTGGCGCTATTCACGCACATCACTTTATTTACTACTAATCTCTTGTGTCATCAGTAACTTAACTGTACATTATCATTATTTTATTGTTCTATGTAATGATAAAGATAATAATTATTGTTATTTTTAAACTAACTTATGCACATGCTATTTGTCAACGTAAATTAATGTTTTGGTCCTTGGTATATATATATATATATATATATATATATATATATATATATATATATATATATATAGTTTTTAATTATCAAATCACTAAATGTTCTAATTTTACTCCTCTAATAGAAGTTGCTTTGGAATTGGAAAAACAACCTGTTAATTTTATCCAACAACAGCAACAACAACCACTTATGAGTTCAAACAGATTCACAGAAATACAACCACAAGATTTACAAGGCAATTCAGTAAATCAATTTAATATGGTCTTCAAGGAGTCTTTACCAAATAGTTTTATGTCAACAGAAATTGTGAATTCAGATAATGTCGTTTCTAGACATAATAATGCTATTCATTCCACGTCGAATATAGATTTCACTGGTAATAATGTTGAATCAAGTCGACCGAATGCAATATCTTCTTATGTTACAATGAATTCTGTTGCTAATCACTCAATACATCATCATGTTGAAAATAATATTACTTCACTTAATAACAATAATAATATTAATTGTATAAAACAAGAAAAGACTATATTTATTAGTCAGAATCGTTTGTCTAAAGATAAACATTCAGTTCTTCCTTCTCCTTCATCATCTGGCGGTGGAGTTGGTGGCAGTGATCATTTTGGTCGTATTACCGATAATTTAGCTGCTGTTTCACTTGACAATGATGATAATGATAATATTGATGACGATGATGATGATGATGATCAAAATAAACACCCGGCTAGTTCAAATAATCATGCTGTTCAACGTGAAAGTAATTCGGAGATAAATCCAGGCAAGTGTTTTTTGATTTAATTTTTGTTTTCTATTCATCTCTGTATCTTATCAATAATAATTGTATTAAAAAGTCATCCCTTCTAGTAGTATTGCTTAAGCGCTGTTTTTTCTTTTCTCAACTGAACTAGTCGTCAAAAATATGAATTGAGAGGTGAGAGTGGAGAACCCACCAAGTCAATTATTGATTATGCTATTCACTTCAAAGGTGATAGTTAGTGAACGATATATTATTTTTTTAAAATCGTCTTGACTGCCTCATTAAGTTTAAACAAGAAAATTCTCATCTTCGAAAACCTGTTATTAGTTTGGGGTGCGTTTAGCATGATAATGTGTTCAATAAAAATGGCTTTACTACTTACTACTCACTACTTACGCCTGTTACTCCCAATGAAGCATAAGTCGCCGACCAGCATTCTCCAACCCACTCTGTCCTGGGCCTTCTTTTCTAGTTCCATCCAATTTTTGTTCATTTTTCTCATGTCTATTTCCATTTCCCAGCGTAATGTATTCTTTGGTCTTCCCCTTTTCCTTTGGCCTTGAGGATTTCATGTGAGGGCTTGCTTTGTGACGCAGTTGGGTGCTTTCCTCAATGTGTGTCTTATCCACTTCCAGCGCTTCTTCCTGATTTCTTCATCCGCTGGGATCTGGTTTGTTCTCTCCCACAGTACGTTGTTGCTAATAGTGTCCGGCCAACGGATCTGAAGTATTTTGCGTAGACAACTGTCAATAAACACCTGTATCTTCTGGATGATGGCTTTCGTAGTTCTCCAGGTTTCTGCAGCATACAGTAGAACTGTCTTGACATTTGTATTGAAAATCCTGACCTTGGTGTTGGTTGACAGTTGCTTTGAGTTCCAGATGTTCCTCAGTTATAAATATGCTGCTCTTGCCTTGCCGATCCGCTCCTTCACATCTGCATCAGATCCACCCTGTTCATCAATGATGCTGCGTAAATATGTAAAGGTTTTTACATCTTCCAAATCTTCTCCGTCAATTGTGATTGGATTGGTGCATGTTGTGTTGTATCGCAGAACCTTGCTCTTCCCTTTGTGTATATTGAGACCTACTGCTGCTGAGGCTGCTGCTACATTGGTCGTCTTCTCCTGCATTTGTTGTTGCGTTTGGGATAGAAGGGCCAGATCATCTGCGAAGTCTAGATCGTCCAACTGCATCCTAGATGTCCATTGTATCCCGTGCTTCCCAAAAATGGCTTTATTCATACCTATTTATGTTGCTCGTAAAACAAATTTTTAATGTATCAACATTATTTTAGCCAGATAATATATGAATTAAAATTTCGGTACTTTGTAACATCTTTATGATATCCTCCCTATTTCTCTTTTTGTCTTCTGTTAATTGTGTCAGTTTTCCTTTGGAATTTGTGCGATATCCTGTACATTCTCAAAATGACATATATGCTTTGTAACCATAGTAATAATTTCCTCATCACAACTTATCCGTAACCTCAAAAGTTTTACTGTACACTACTTCGGCATTGATTACTATTAAACTAGCGAGTTCAACGTTATACTAGTAATTCGTTTCACACATCCGTTTGGCACACAATTGTAGTGCCAATGTTAATTTGTATCACTAAACATCAGTGACATTAAAATACCGCTCACATAAGCACCGATTTCTAAGTCGTACTTTATTTTATTTATTTATTTATTTATTTATTTTAACATATACATATTGGTACAAGGAGGCACAAAATACATATGCGACACACAGATCTCATTTTATATGTGTGAGTGATGTTATACTGCCTGTGTGCTAATGAATATATAATACTTTTCAATTCCAATTGAGTAGTGAATCGTTCACAGGCAGACTCATTAATTGTCTCTGGATAAGCGAATTTCACCAAGGGTACACACAAAATTCAGGGTTAATAGTTTGAGCAGTTTAGCATCCAACTCCCAGTTGTTAATGAGCGTAGCTGTAAACAATGTATATAACTGATGTGGTATTTACGCGATTCTGATATGGCAAACAGAACCTGCTAATCATTATGGGTTGTATGTGGTTACTGCATATCATCCTTCAGTATGATTTTTCAACTGATGGCACTTTTATCTACATTGTCATGGCATATAATCTCACCTCGTCTACCAGAAATTCTGCTGACACCGTATTTGGATTCGTTCGTCAACCTATATGATTGGAAAACATAACAAAACCTCAATCTAGGTGTAGTTTTCTAGTTTTTTATATATTTCAATCATATTTAGCTAGTTAGGGAAAAGTGTATATGCATTGAAAAAAAACATTAGAATTTCTAGTCTCGTTTGTTTATGGATAACATTAGGATCCCAGAGGGACATTTCCTTTTATTCCAGATTCGTTATCTATGTGTACCAATATTCTAGGGTTGATTTTCACTCTGATACTGAAACCTCTTATTCATTGTTTTAAATGCCATATGCTCTTATCCAATAGAATAACAGAAATTGATCAAATATCAACTATACAACAGTATAAATACACTTTAATTCAATTGATTTGTGGTAGTTTGCGTGTATATTGAAATAGTAATCATTCACGGTAACTTGGTGTAAAGTAACCTGTATTATTTAGCAGTGTTTTTTCCCCAATGACTATATTTGAATTTAGTTTACAATATTAAATAATTTACTAAGTTTACCACCTGATAATTGCAAACAGAAACAAATTGATGATAGACGTCTTGTTTTTTTCTACAAAAACCATTAGAACTCCTTTAGTCAAGAAGTGTTTCTTCACTTGAAGTGAGAAAAACAATGTGAATTTTTAGTTCGTTGATGTCACCTCTTTTCTTCGGAAGAACATTATCATATATATATATATATATATAATGTGAACCAACTTCTCAGTATTACTTCGACGGTTGAAAAATGCGTGAACTTATTCCTTCAACACAAGTTGTTTTTACGTCCATTGTCTTGAAGCAATTGATGGCTATTAATGTGTGTGTATCTATGTTTGCTGATTTTATTCAGTTTTTTAAACAATTCTCCACAAACTACTTTGTCATTCACTTACTGGTCACAGTTTCTCTTCTGTCTCATTAGAGTCATTCACATGGACACATACATTTGTGTATTTATTCGATTTTTTTCTTGTTTCGAAGTTTGTAAGAAAGTTATATTGTATGAATCTGTGTATCTGCATTTTGTGCGTCCGTCAAAGTAGTGAATATTGTTTATTTTTTACGTTGTGTACAAAAGCATTTCCAAGTGATAAGCGCATTTAAAGTGAGTCATGTTAGCGGAACTGGTACAATAGTACTTTCATAGTGAATTATACGTACAAATTGGCTGATCATATATATATATATATATATATATATATATATATATATATATATATGCAACACATGGTTTATCGGTCACTTAAACATGGTGACTCATAAATATGTATAGTAATTCTTTGGCCTTTTCTCCTTCGTTAATTGAATGTGCAAACAAATGAGTATTATTTGCATTAGTAGTTTGCGCAAAACCATTTTATTTAATAAAAATTTTCTTAATGAATCGGTCATTGAAAAGCAGAAAATACTGGATTTATTTTCATTTCAGTTTTGACATTTCCCAGCCGTATACACATATCGTCTTATAAAAATTTTGATCCAGAATATTGAGGTTTCTTGACAGGCACAATTAATTTCGATTACTAAATCAGAACTCAGTTGTCTTAATCTTTTCCCTAATATGATATGATCTTTTTGTTATGTGATCAGTGAGAAATTTCTATCTCACTTTTAGACAGAAATTCATATGAATGCTAGTTGTTTACATATACATTTTATGGCCTTCTCTCCACAATCAATTGCTTAATTTCTACTAGTTCATCTGGCAGTTTAATTGTTCATTATTATCTAATTTTGAAATTTTTGTCTAATCATTTAAGTTAATGTCTTTTTGATAATTAAAAATTTTTTGTTTAATCTTTTTAACATTTTCTATCTAACAAATATAGATCACATTCTATTACCCACTAGCAGTTTAGGTCAGATTAAATTTTTACCAAATTCTATGATTTCACCATGCGGCCCACAAAATACATCCATACATGAATCTAACCAAAATGGATTTCCTAATTTGATTCAATGTCGAACACCATTTTCATCAAATTGTTTAACACAAACACAATATTCACCGGCTTCATTATCTGATAATGGATTTTTACCTTTCGGTGAAAAATTATGTTACTTTATCCCAATGAGTAATAATTCATCTTATCAACCTAATTCACATATTACCTCGTCAAATATTACACAAAATTGTGGTACTTCAAATCTTTCTCAATTTTCCAATAATAATTCAGCTTCCATAGTTTCTAAAATTCCTAACTTAAATGTTGGTAATTCAACAAAAGTGGTGAATGATCGATCAGCTATTCGAACGAATCGTTCTATTCATCGTAATGTTACTTCTGGTTGTAATACTCAGACTAGTTCGCAACAAAGTAAGTGTTATTTCAAATCTTTTTTATTTACAATGTAAAAAAATACTAACTCAGTTTTTTTTGTATATTTTATTGTGTGTTGAATTTGAATATGTTATTCACACTTTTGCCATTTATTGGTCTTATTTATTTTATATATATACGTACTTGATCGTTCAACTCTCCTGTCTTTTCTAAGTGTTGTTCTTTTATTATAGAGATCTGTTTTTAATGAGTAGATTATATCCATGATTTCTCACTATATAATCAGTACCATGTTGTTGTTAAATTAATTTAATGCTCTATTAATGTTTTCACCATTTTACGTAGATGGTACAACACGTAGTCAAGACACGGATACACCAGATGAAAGTGGTGTTGGTGAATCGATTATTTCAAACGAATCTCCTGCAGAAAGTCGAGCATGCGGTGGTGGGATAATGAGTAATGCTGTCGGTGTTGGTGTAATTGCTACCATGAATTCGATAACACCAAGTGGACCCTGTCAAGTTGATTGGCGTTTAAATGTGGTGAGTAATATTTCCTTGTTTTAGGCTCTCGTTTTCTTTTTGTCGATACATCTCAACGTAATTAAAAATAAACAATAAAGCCAACATTAGTTTATAAACATCATGTGAACTTTGAGTTCATCTTATTTTCTATTCTAGTATTCTATGAAAGCTTGAATTTGCATTAGATCAAAAAATTACACACACGACACGTTCTATTTGTCAAGATTTTTGTTTAATATTTTACCCTATTCTAAAAAATGGAAATTGTTCTTATCTCTTCGTACGATCTAGGTTTCTTAGTCAAATTGTTTGTCTAGTCGTGAGAGTTACATGCATTTGATCCTGGTTTTCATACATTTTTGGGTGATCAATTGATTTTGATTTAGACACATGAACTTTGGTACAAGTAAGCACTAAATATATATGTACCTCAAAGATCATTTGATTTGTGTGAGGGCTTGGATACCACCTGGGTGCCCAGACCGATCAATTATAGGAACCAGATCATAAGTCTCAAAGTGTTTGATTTCTAACTAACTTTTAAGATAATTAATATCTACTTCATTTTTCACATATACACAATCTACTCTTTATTAAAAATTACTTCAAGTAGATACAAATCAATCTACTTTACTCATTTCGAGGTATTATTTAGAAATTATGAATCTGAGACTTTTTCTTTTTGTATATAACATTTATATTCACAAGTTTCTATGAATTTGTGCATATGTTTGACGCTAATGTATTCACAAACTTTCTTTCCAGGCCATTGTTATGCGCTATACTCTTACTTGCATATACATGATGTGTATACTTACTGTCATATTCTGTTATTTTTTATTTCTCTCTTTTCTTACTTCAGCCGTTTGAAGTGTCCATGTCAATTGATGATCATTCTCAACATTTTCATCATGCACAAATAATAACTCCTTCTTCAAATGTTATTCACCATCCACATTCCTATCCATATTTATTTCAAACTACTAATACTTCTACAACAACGACTACTACTATCAATACCACTACTACTCATATTTCTTCTGCCTCATCATCTACTCAATTCAATGTTAATCCATTAATGGAACAATTCTCTACAATACCACCTCACGATAGAATTGGAAGTTATTTAAAAAGTTTGGGTGAATTAGATACCAGTGGTGGTCGTCATCATCGTTGTAACGAACCACCAACATTTGCTTATTACCAATCGCAACCAAATGAATCAAATTTACCAACTGATATACTTGATGTAAATGATAAAACATTTAATCATCCATCGAACTTTTTACATTATCTCCCACCGCCACCACCACCGGTGCCTCCCCCACCTCATTCATCAATAATGGAATGCTGCAATTCGCCGTCGTTACCTCCTACATCTACCACCAATAATGCTTCAATCCAATTAAGGTAAACCATTTTAGATTATATTTAAGTTTAATGTATTCTATTCTTCTATAGGCAAGTAATTTGTCTTCTGTATTTAGTCATGTGGTATTTATGTGAAATTCCAAAATATTCTTGTGGTTATAACATGTGGTCAAGTTTACTGTGAACCTAATTTACATATACATTCATACACGAATGAAAAAAAAAACTGATGATCATAACTTCGATTTTCGTATTTGTGACACTAATCAACGAATTTGATAGATTTTTCATAATAAGAAATATTTGAGTAGTGTCTTTTCACTTGATCGTTTTTTTCCTCATATTCTTACGTTACCAATCTATACATTTTTTCTTTTTTAGTTGAAAGTATTGTTCACTCAAATTATTTGGACAAATTTTATTATGAATGAAATTTAATTTAAGTGTTTTTTTTTATAACGAATTGATTTTGTGATAATTTTATTGTTAACTAACCCTAAATTCCTTTATCTTACTCATGATTTTGCAATTATGCTTGAATAGGCTAGTTACCAGTATATAATATATACTCAGTGCCAATAAACTGTGTTTCATTGTATTCACTACTAAGACTTGTTAAGTTCGCTACTTGATTAACGCAGAATAAGGTTTACGACTACGACACTCGAACGTTGAAATTCACCGTCGCAAATCAGAAGATAGAAAAAAAGCCGAAGAAGTGTTTATTTGGTAAGAGTCAAAGTGTTCAGAAAATCAAGGGTATTTATAGATATTAGCGTTTGTTAAGTCAACATTATATTTCGGCCAATCCGCCATGAGATATATTATGCTACTGACCAATAATAGCACGCCACGTTAATGTTCTAGAAAGCTCCATCATGTTCTGATTGGCTGGAACTCTTCGGTTTCTTTAGGGCCTCTGGAGGCTCCGTTGTGGTTCTCGGAAGCCGACTCAACAAGACTGACTTCCAGATAGGGTGATTTTAATTTGAAATTTCTAGGTATCTTAATGCAATAGGTTCAGCGCTATTTTCTTGTTCTTTAGATGATCGTTGAACATTACTGATAAACTATATAACGACATTATGTTGAAAGCACTGGCTGTCGATTGATTTTTATTTGTCTGTACTTGGTTATTAAACTGGGTGTTTTTATGATTTTTCTATAGTAATATTGTGTAATATTTGGTTTTTCACTATCTACCTAGCCAACACACTTTTCTTTCTCGGTTGAATAATTTCAATTAGCAAGATGTTTATAGTCCTATAATTTTTACTTTAACCTGTGACAAAAGTTAGTTGTTGTAAAGGGTATAGTTAAGTGTTGTTTTTAATTAAATTTTATTTGATTAATTTAGCAAACTCAATTTTTATATAGTGAAAAAAATATTTGGTCAATGTACCAAAACACTCTTTGTGTCATTTGAATATTGGTGTATGCTGAATGCTGTATTCAGTTTATCTGTTGTTCAACGTAATGGCTTTAACATAAGTATATATTGAGATAATGTACTTTCTAGTTATAACTAACTTTGAAGACAAATCAAATTTGTATTGAGTTTATCGTTTAAGAGGGTTAGAGTCATGTCTATTAAATCCCCAAATGCCCTGGTACGGCCGAGAGTGGGGAGAGTCCGCTCCCCCTCTCCAAATGCTCTCACATGGCCACACGTATATAGCCTCTGCCAGCGAAGTCCTCCTCACTGCCTTCTCGTGGTGGGGGTGTTGTTATCGAAAATGAGAGGACGAAAAGCGAATGTCCGGCGCTTTAACCAGACTCCAAACCAATGGTGCACATGGGCTCCTATATCCTGCGGGAACAAATGGCGAATGAACCAATTGTTGGTCACCGGCTTCCATGGGCCTGCATCTCCTTACGATGCTCCACTGCCTTGTGGATCAGACCTTCAGGTCGAAGGCTCGGGGTGTGGCCCTCTAAGATAACCATTTGCTTCGGTTTGGGCACCCGGGCAGTGTCATAGCCCTCACACTTATCGAATGAGATTTGTGTGGCGTATATGTATTTGGTGCATCGTTGTACCAGTATCTATGTGTTAAATAAATAAATAAATAATCCATCGAAATAGAGTGGTTGGTTATCAATTAATATATTCAGCGTATAACATCCGGCTTAGACATCACTTACCGCTTATAAATAGCATGTCTCATAACTGAACACATAAACCTGTATTCGGTAAATCAGTTACGTTTAAAAATTGCTCAAAATTTTCTGCTGTAGAACAACTCTTCATAAAAAAGGTCGTTTTTTCTCTGTGAATAATCGTTAATTAATCGCTTGAAGTTTTATCCTAATTGATGAACTCTTCTTGAATTTCTTATTTCTTTAAATTTATTCTATTTTTTATAGCTCGCACGTAGCTTCAACCGGGGAAATTTCGAAGTCAAATATTTCTCGCCCGATTTCTCCTGTACAACGTAGTAAGCAATATTTTAATTCAAAAGGAATTATGGATAGTGAAACTGGAACAAATATGAACCAGCCAACCAACTGTTTATCGTCTAACAATCAAAATATATCTCAATTGAAAGCTTCATCTGAACAGAATAACATAGCTCTTGATGAATCTTCTTTGAATCATAATAACAGTAGCAACAATGATACTGATATTAAAGATATGCATTCTAATACCTCTTATTCAAAGATTTCTCAGGCACGCCGACGTAATAAAGTAGATATAGAACGTACTGTTAGTGGTAATGTTGGACACCTGGACTATCCAGGAGTAGGGCGACGTCATTTACCACTGGATGATCGATCAGAAGAGGAATCGAATACAGAAGAAGTTCCAAGGTCATTGGAGGATGAGACTTTATCCATCGCGTCTGACTCTCCGAACAATTCTCAAGATAATTCAATATCGATTAAACCCGATGCAGACCTGTCAGGTGGTGGTGAAGGAGACGATGTCTACCAGGCGCCAGATTCTTACTATTTACCAAATGTTAGTAATAATAGTAATTTGAATTCACAAAATTTACAACTTAACTCTACTTCACATGAATCAATTACAAATCTACTTGAAAGATCTATTGAGTTAGTCAATTGGACTAAAGATCTATGTAGTTATTGTGAAATGGAATATGAGATCCCGAATGCATCGTTCATTGAACTATCGAATTGTTTAGATTCTTTTCGTATTGAATTAGAAGCGTATATTGTGGAACATATAAGCAATAATCCAAATCTTACTAAAACTATCTTAATTTCATGTGATAATCTAGGTAAACAAACTACAAATTTATCTTTGCATTTAAAGACTATGGAAATGGATAAACTTGCCTTTAGTGTACATTGTAATTCTTGTCATTTGTGTTTAAAAGAAATTCATGAACATATCGTACAACTTTTAAATAAGTCAAAAGTAATCAATGAGGTAACCACTACCGCGGTCACCACCGGTTCTACAACATCTGTTACTAATCATACTCATTTACATGATGATCGATCGTTTAGTACTACTGCTAATAATACTGTTACTACTACTACTACTCATGTATTTGGCAAAGTTTAACCTCTGAATTCGACTATTTTGTGTTTGTTTCTTCACTCACTGCGTATGCGCACATCTTTTTGTATATGCTTCATTCTGTTGCAATTATTATTAATAGTCTACAAGATTCTTATTGTTTAAAAGCTAATTGTTTGAATTTCTTTCTGAATTGATCAACATTAATAAGTGTCCGGGATTCGGAAATAATCATCACATCATTTACACATATACTTGTTGTTTTGTTCAACTGAGACGTTATCATATTTTAAATTTTCACCTCATTCAAATTACACCAATGTCTTTCGAATTTTCACTTTTCTGTCATATATATATATAATTGGGCGATCGACTGATCTGGTCGTCTCATGACAGAAACTAATTTTACATAATTTCAATCATCTCTATTTACTCCATTGTTTACTACTGTACAAGTCATACAATGTTATCATATCTGTATAAAGTTCATTTTGCATGTTGGTGTTTTTTGCTCATTTCTTCGTTTTAAATTTAAATCATTTTTCACATTGTGTTTTTTCCTCTCTGTCTGTTTTCTTTTCCGATTTCTCACCTTTATATTTTCAGTCGGAATATGTGATTTACACTATCTTACTTATCTATAAAAATAATACTACCACAATTGTTTTTTTTTGTTAACCAGTTTTTTTTTCGGTTGTTGTTTCATCAGAAAACTAAGTCAGACGATCAGTTTCTATGGTGAATATATTGAGTATACATACACACAAATTCGGAGAGAGATAGTCTGTGTTATTCCCACTTTGTGTGTAATAATAATAATAATAGTTAAATCTTGTTTTTGACATTCTCTTGTTTACCATTGTATACATAAATAATAATACAACATTGATAATCTTTTGATTTGTTGTGTACACACGAATTGATTGTGCATTCTAATGGGTGACCCATTTTGTGTGATATAGAATTCTATGTTACGTCTTTACATTCTGAAAATGTAATTTAATTTATTTTTCTCTCAAAATAACATTAATTTAAATAACAACAATTGTGTGTTTTAAATTTTACTCGTAAACAACAATTCTGACACAATAATGACAAGTAAATAAAAGTTTTTAAAAGTCCCTGATGTATATCATTATATATACATAATAATGAAAGAGACATAATATCGATTGCCATTAGTAACTGATAACAATAATGACAAAATTATTATTTTTTTCTTTTTGGATTCTTACTTAAAGTATTTAAAACATTTCTTCCTATTGCCATTGTATTTATCAATAGTTTTTCTCCTTTCATATTGAGATAAAACTAATAACCAATGTATTGATTATTATTAGATGAATTGAAGAATGTCAGTGAATGAGTATTGTTGAACAGTGGGAAATATGTTTTCTACATCTTCATTTATTACCGAGTGATATGTGTGTATCGTATACTGTTAGTAAATAAAATCTTATCGTTAGTCATTCCTAGTCTTGTTTATATCATTATGGATGTGAAAAGTAAATGTCTGTATGTTTTGATATATTTTAATAAATTATTTACTATATAGGTAGAGATTACAAAACAATCTTTCTTCTGAACTCGGATGAGAAACCCTTTTTATGATGTTATGTTGATCCGTTTCTTGTATTCCTTTTTAATATGTTTTGAAATGTATTGAATACAGTTTAAAACATACGTTAAAACTTGATTGAAAGATTAGGTTATTTTTAATCAGTGATATTAATGGATGAATTAATAAGATAATTAGCCAGCTGTTTTGTTTTGTTTTCATATCTTAAGTGATCAGATACGAAGATTTTACGCCGGAACTTTCAGATTTTGCGACAACCATGGTATCATCATAAGCCTCATCCTAATCATCAGAAAAAGTTATTTCTGAGTTTAGGCATGTGCAAATTATTCGTACTAGGCTCTGCTTTTTGTATCTTCAGTAGTAAGGTTTAAGTTAAAAAAATATTGACAGTAAAAATTTACTTATTGAGCTATGTAAGATTGATTTTTATTCTGTAATGGCTCAAATGTATATGGGTTTTATTCCAGGTAGAACACATCAACTAAAATATAACATTAGAATCGAAAAAATGGTGCCTGGATTGACCAATCGGAATCTAGAAGTAGGATTCCTTGTTTTTACCGTCTTTAGTTACATAATATCACTAGCCACACGCATGATATCGATGTAGGAGTGATTTTAGATTATGTGAATCAGAGATTACTAAGTAAAACATATTTAGGTCTGGTGAAACCAGTTCCTTCTCTTAATGAGAAGCAAGGTATACCAGCACTCAAGTTGGAGCAGTAGTCTGACAAAAAATAGGTTTGATTTAGGTACCGTCAACATAGAGCCTGGCACTAGTGTAAGTTATCTTAAGTTGTAGCATATTAGCACGAAATAAATATAAGATGAATACCAAAAAATATTATAGCTATGATAATAAGGAAGATTAATCATTATAATAAAACGGCATGTATCTAGAATTATTGAAATTTAATATCTAGAAGAAAATACAAAGTGAATGCATCAGTATTATTGTGAACGGTTCTGATATACAGGTTTTTCTCTATATCTTAGTGCATTTGTATAACGCTACTTCAGTTACAACGTATATAAATGTACTTATTCTGTTGTACAGTTAATTAAATCAACTAGCTAAATGTTTTGCTTAATCAGTTGTATATAACTTACATTCAAATTATAAAAATATTAAGGTCGTCTTAACAGATACCTAAAGGTTTAACTATTTTCTAATGTAACAAATGTACTTGCACCCTAGTAAGTTTTGGTGTTTTCAATGAAACGTGTCTTGCATAATTGTTTCAGATGTAAGAGATTCATTTATCGACTTAAAATTATTAGATGGGATAGTTTTGTCTGCTGAAGACCGACAAAGAGTAGATTCTTCTGTTCGTCTTGAGCATTCACACAGGCATGTTTCGACCGTTCTAAATGCAAATGTCGCTTCAATACTGTTCCACATCATTAACGGGAGTAAAATAGTTGACCACTTCACTCAACTCGAGAGTCTCATCAACTGTGGTACTTTAGTAGCTGATAAAATCACGAACTGGATTTAGAAATATTGATTGACTTTTACCGACCTTTGGCGTAATTAAAATGTCAGTCTCTCAAACAAAGGACGGATTTACTGCATAGAAACTTGAATCAATCCAAACTTATGACAAATTTTACATTTTTGACTGGCTGTGGTACATGATCCTTCAAAGTAGAGGAAATTCATAGGTTGCTAGTGTTTGATCATCATTGTCTTCGGAGCATTACAGGTCTTTTTTTGAAACGACCGAGCAAGCAGTGCCTAGATTAAGAGTATTTTAGACGGTATATATGGTAAATTGGTTGATGAGTTTGTGAATCACCAATTATTTGAGTGGGTTTAAATAAAGCTGGGGTTGACTAAACCTGGAGCATGGCATCACTTATAGAACTCATAGACTAAGTGTTTGGGGCGTGTAGACTACCTGGTCAGTATCCGCGCGGTTATTGTAATTGATGATCACAGTCATTGAATGAGATATATTTAAATCGATTACTGCATCTCCAGACGCATTCACTTTTTGTCAGATCTAAGATCTTGAGTTTCTTGTACACCTATTCTTCTATCCTTTCTTTTAGAATCTCGTAAGTTAGGCTAATCAGACATAATCAAATTGATAATTGGGAAATGATAGCGGGTGCACACTATTGATCAAAGTGTGGCTTCACTTTGGGAGGGAAGGAATGTATGGCATTAGTTGGAAATGTGGCTGTATTTTCTGAGGAATGAATTTGTACATATTTACTCACTTAGGCTAGACAATAAAAGTCATCTATCCAATCTTGATTCACTCACTTTAGTAGCTGGTCTGGGCACGTGTATGGAAAGCGTATATATCAGTGAAACATAACATAATCATATTCTGAATTTATTGTCTTTCCAACTATAGTCGATACTACTGTTATTTTTAGTTTTTTTGCTACTCATCTTGTACTCGTTTAGTTTGACAACTTTGGCTAGTGCGCATTTTTGCTTAGCTCTACTTTGATTACAACTGGATTGCAAACTATCAATCATAAACAGTGTAAACTACGAATATTTATCGGCTTTGTATTTACTCGTCATTAGTTTCAAGTATTTTCACTGGGAATTATTTCATGTATATGTTTGCCTAAAACACAAAGATAATCATTGTAGCCAGATAATTCGAAAATGATATGTGCTTGATTAAACTAGTTACTGAAGCTTCTTTCAATTTTTATTGTCATTTCACCTGTGATTTTGATGATGTTCATTAGGAAAAAGAAATTTCTGTCTTCATATCTGCGACGACGAACCACGGATGAACTCGAGGAAGCTGTAGGAGGCTCAGAAGGAGCCGAAAATATTCCATCCGATCACCTTTCAGAAGAATATTCTAGAATTCCTACGTGTAGCTTCCCGATTGGATAATGCTAATAACCTGACGATTTTGTACTATAATTGACACTGTCTGGGAATAATATTCCTTTCATTAGTCTTCTGTCTTCTCATTGCGACTTGGAAGGGTTCTGGCGTTCTAGTACTCACGTTATACGCGGTATATCAAAAACAACTTTCTAGATATAACAATATCTAAGAATAATTACTATTTGTTAATGTATTCAGTTTAACTTCTTAGTTAACATGTGTAATAATATTCAAACTAAATATTGTTGTATCTTTTTTTTTTCTTCTTCAAAACTCACATTCCTGACATATTATACATCAAAACACTTAAATTTCTTATATACTTTTGTCTGTTTATTTATTGTTTAATGATATATATTCTTTAAAATAAATTCCAGCAACATATTATACGAAGTTGATCGATCAGAATGTGATACTTCGAAAATCGGAATAAATAGTTCATATGAAAAATGTCATTATTCTATTGTTTATTGATGTGATTTTATGAATGTTTTGTATTTATTTAATTTCTTTCATTCACAAATATTTTCTTATATGAACAGAATAAGTTCGCTTCTTACAAATTGATATTAGTTGTAAAATTGTAATAAACAAACATTAGGTTAGAGTAAACCAGTTTACATCAATATGTCGACCTCTTGTCAGTAAGAATCTTAATTCCAGTTCCTGGTGAATACTACTAGTTATATCTGTCCACTAATTCGCATATCATGTTTTGATTGGAAATCTGATAATTATAGAATTAGCTTTTCACCAAAGCTCTCTCGTTGTTTTCTCGAATTGAACTGTTTACCTTTAGATAGCGTGGAATTTAATTTACTATTATGTTAACAGAGTCGTCTCTTGATTTATAGGTCAATTTTTTCTACCCATCGGGTTTTTTATCAGGTTATTTTAGAATGCATATGCATGTTACATGCAACTGTAATACACCTTGATTAGATTTCTGTGGTATAATTAGTAATTAAACATTCACTAGGAACAAACCACAGTATGAGATTTTTGAAATATGTAAATAATTATGATTGAAGGACATAACATAACATTAAAAGTGTATCGATTTTTTCGTAACATTGAATGTTTATTCTTATCAAGGAATATGACATAATGTCATGTGTTAACTATCATATGGTGTGTCTTGCCAATTGTTTTGTGAATCAGCAGTAAGTCCAAATCTTTTGCGTATGAGTCCGTAATCATAGATCATATATATAAAGGTTAAGAAACCGTATCCCATAGAAAACAAGCTTGTTAAAAAAATGCCGTACATAAAAAAATCATTCATACAATTTAAACTTTGCCTTGGGAGCCGAAGGATCTTTATTTAGAAGAATTATGATGCCTCATGATGAAACCAAGATTCTTTGCAAGTCACGATGCCGATGTCTCCTCTAACAACCATGACTAAAATTAATATCGGTATATGGGATGTCTGAACAATGTGGTAGAGCGGGAGGACCAGTCGAATAGCAACTTAAATGAGGAGATACAACTTGAAGGTTCTCGGAATCAGCGAGACCTATTGAACCCAAGCTGGACAACAAAGATTAGGTACGAGAGAGATGCTGCTGTACTCCGGTCACGAAGAGGAAAATCCTCTACACACTCAGGGAGTTGCTTTGATGCTGTCCAAAGAAGCAAAAAATGCACTTATAGAATGGGAATCTCATAGACCCAGGATCATCAAAGCATTTTTCAAAATGATGGTGATCCTAATGAATATTATCTAGTACTATGCACCCACCAATGATATCAATGAAGATGATAAAGATCAGTTTTACCAATTTTTGCGTTTAAATAATTAAGGAAATCATTGTTTTCTTTCCATTACTTTGTAACATATCGTTAGTTACAATGTGTTAGCCTGTTAAGTGTTCAATTTTCTTGATATAGATAACAAGTGAATATGGTACTTTCTGTTCTACAAATATATAATTCCTTTAAGAATTGTCATCCGCCTTAATTTTTAGTTGTCTCATTAAGTTTACCTAACAATTTAAACAATAACATCATATCGGTTAACCAAAACTGATGACTGTGTAAGCGTTTGTATATGATATAACTGGATAATGAATATCGTATATGTGGTGTTTGTATAAAATGATAATTGCTGCGTGTGTTATTGGTGACTTTAGTATAGTACGTTTACATTTGTCTACATCTTTCTTCTCTGTTCAATCGTTCACTCATTGAAAGACAATAAAGTGTGTTTTAGACAAATTCAATAGTTCCTGTATCGTACATAATCACATTCAATATTACTATTTATTTTAATATATCACTTAATGACTTTGAAATCTTTAACGAATTTTTAAATGATAAACTCACGTCAGACTGAAATTTATTCATTAAAGTAGCTTAAGGAATGAGACAAAAATAAATCTTGGAGGTTGTTGAATTACCGTAGTAGTGATAGATTGATAACTCATTCATTTTGATTTTATGATGTGGGTTTAAGTCACTTATTAATAGAGAATTCAACAAAACACAATAAAATCGCATTATTTTACTTAGTAATTATGTTAATTGACTTTCATTCTCTATTTTTAAGAAAATATAGATTAACAAACTATTGAGAAGTTTGATGGCTATGAGTGTGGTGCGCGGTACTTATATTGATATTAAGTAGTATATGGCGCGAGTCAGGAATGTAATGTCTGGCAGCAGAAGATGGGGAAGATCAAGAAAGGAAGAGGGGGAATAGAAAGCAATTAGTATGGAAATGCAAGAAGGACGAAGTTCGAGACAATTATTGAATATTTTGTAAATTAGTTATTACAGTATGATTTTTCTATTTTACAAAGTAACTCTGTAATCATGTTCTAAATACAATTCGGTTGTCCTCACCTGTGTTCTCCTTCACTACATGAGCAGCGAATTCTTTGGGATATACTTAAAAATCTGTTCATGTGTTTACTTCTCTTTGCCTTAAAACTACATAATTTAGTACATACATTCAATGTAGTCCATTATATTAAAAGCTGCCAACACCAAATTTCATAGTCAAAGACGTTATTTATAAATTTTTTTTGTTTTATTTTTGTTATGCCCCGATAAAAATAATCAGAATATACTTCCCATTCTAAGCTTGGACTTCTCCCTCTAGTTAGCAGGGCTGGGACGCATCAAATAGCTAGCTTACTGATCTTTAGTCACTGAGTCTTTGTTCTGGTTCTCAGATTAAGTGAACATGTGATAACTTCATCCCTAGTAGTTTATGATTTGAATGTTGTTTAACTACTCAATATAAATATAATTATACTTGTTATATTAAACAGTAGCATATCAGTTAGATCATATTTCAGGCTTAGAAAACTTTTATATTATAAATATATTAAGCAGTTTATAATAAAACTGTCTAGATTAATTTTAATTGACAGATTTCAGTCATATATAAAGTAGTATAAAATCTTCAACTAACAATTTCTATCTTCATTAATATGACGATTGTGTCAGTTGGTTAATACCTAAATTGAATAATAATTTTATGTATCTTTTTTTCTTTTCTAATCATGCTGTTTAGTTGAATGAATATTTCGTTGTATTTAAATAAGTTTGACGAATCTCATTTTAGTTCACTTAAACAATCAATTATCGTTTGTTATTCTTTACATTTTCGGATTATGTACTAAAAATAGTTAAAAATAATTCGATTCATTATACCCCTCTTTTTTTTCTAGAAATTTGATGTATAGTAAATTCCATGTTAGGTTTAACTATAATATAGAATCGAAGAGTTAGTGATATTAAAATGATCAGGTATGTGTTTAATAACTGAATTAATTTAACTAATAAATTATTATAATACCCACAAATCCCTAATCTGATAATCATCATCATTTGCTCACTAGTGATTGATTTCAAGAGGTATTTCCTAGTTCTAGTGAGCTGTGACCAGTGGAGTTGAACCGTGTCTGTTGTGAGGTATTTACTCATTGAAGACAATGGTGGACGGTGGCTCAGTTTCGTAGATTGGTTGAAGTTAGACATGAACACAATTAGATGCCGGCTCAGTGGTCTAAAGGTTAAGTGTTCGCGCTCGAGATCGAAGGTCCTGGGTTCAAGTCTCCTTGGTGAGGGATCATGGATGCGCTCTGCTGAGAAGTTCCATACTAGGACGAGACAGCCTTTCAGTGCTTCCAGGTTCTCAATGGTGATCTAGCATAAATCGACTCATGAATTCAACTATTAACTTACTATCGATTTTGTAGTAGTAATTTATCAAAATAATTGACTTTTTTGAGAATTCTTACTTTGTCAACTTGCGCATAGCTAATTAAGTGATTTATTCAAATTAAACTAAGATAAAAAAAACCATTAATTTATGCGTTATATACGATCTTTGTAGAATGAATTGTTCATTTGATACGTTCAATATTTAATTCCTACTCTATGATAGTTAAATAGATAAACTTCCATTCTAAGTATTAAACTTTCTGAGCATCATACAAATACATAATTCAATAGTTCAGATCACGAGTCAATTAGAGATAGACCACCATGGAAAACCTGGAGGCACTGGAAGGCCGTTTCGTTCTACTTTGAAACTCAGCAGTGCGCATCCACGATCCCGCCTCGCGAGATGCGAACCCAGGACCTGTCGGTCTCGCGCGCGAACGCTAAACCTCTAGACCACTGAGTAGGCATCCATTAACAATATTATTTGATTTGAGCATCTGATTGTTTCAGGCCTGTGTGCTGCATCAAAAGGTGTGTTGTGAATCAATCTGATATTGTTAAATGAATCCCAGAAATGAGGTAACGGATTGACCGATCATTAAAAAAATCTTTAAAATCATGAAGATTTTGAAATCCGTCTCTCACAATCTACTACAATCTCTTTATTCCATTTTAGGTAGCCTTTAGGATACAACGATGATAGGAGATAAATATAACATCAGCTGAAAAATTAAATTGTACCAATTATTATTACCAATTATTCATCAAGGAACCAAACGCTCTCTTCACTTTTTCATACGTGAAGATAAACAAGCAATGAAGTAACACTGTATCACTGATATCAAGACGCGTTGAAAACCATGGACATGTATTCGACTGGAAAAGCGATGAAATGTTGAATTGATGTAATTCCAGAGAATGATTATAAGTATGTAATCTAAATCAATCAGTCATCAATAAACAAGTCGATTTAGGTTATCTATCAACTTATATGACAAAGATGAGTTTTGACCACGAAGTATAAGGTCAACTGGACAACACAGCTATTAGTAATGTAAGTAAAAAAATTTACAAAGACAACTGATCACAAATTTTTGCAGAATAAATAAAATAAATCACTTCGACACGCATGGGGCTCTGATGATATTGTTCAATGCGACAATAAAAGTTACACCATCTCTTTCATAGAAATCAATATCATCAAAACACCCTAATTCCTTTTAATCACTCCTATTTATTTTTCCACTTATTTAGATCTATAAAAATGTAACACCTTTGATTAGCAGATGAATGTGCGAAAAATCGTTTAATCTCCAATTTGCTTTAATAGATATTTCTGTCCATAATAAACAATCATTTGTCTTATCACAAGGGGTTTTGTGGAGATTTTAGAAGTTTCTCGGATTGAAATCATGAGTCAATTGAAGCTAGACCACCATGGAAAACCTACAAGCAATGGACGGCCGGTTTATCCTAGTATGGGACTCCTCAGCAGTGCGTATCCACGATCCCGCACCCCGCGAGACTCGAACCGAGGACCTATCAGTCTCGCCCCAGGCGCTTAACCAACTAGACCACTTAGCCGGCATTCAATCGTCTTAATGTTTAACTTCAATGAATCCACGAAGTTGCGCCACCGTATACCATTGTCTTCAGTGAGCTGATATCTTACAACAGACCTGTTTGAACTCCACTGGTAACGGCTTCTCACTAGAACTTCGGGAGTTTTTCCTGAAATCAGTCACTAATGAGCAGATGATTATCATCAAAAAGGGTTTGTGAAGATCTTAGAAATTTCACAGATTGAAATCATTTGTCTACTTAATTTTTTTTTTAGCGCTTTCTTTCATTTATCTACATTCAAAGATAATAAATATCAATTATTTAAATAATAGAACTTTTCAAATTTATTAATTCATAAATTATTAAAAAAAAACAAACTATATATTGTCAACTTTATTTAATTTTTATTTCATCTTTTCTTTAACCAAATCTTAAAGTAGTAGGTATTCTTGGATGCATTAATTTTTGTAAACCACCAGTTTTCATTTCATTCATTAATTTATTCCATAAATATTTTTCAGCTGTCATTGTTAAATATCGTTTAATTGTTAATGGATATTGTCTTTTGACATATTCATTATTATTATTATTATTATTAAAAATATCTGAAATTTAAATGAAAATGTATATTAATGTATTAAGTAATAAACTAATTAATCTTTCATGATATACATGGATTTATGTACAGATTAAGATAATTTATCAGAATGGGTTTTGTGGGGAAATTTTTTAGAAGTTTCTTTGATTGAGATCATGAGTCAATTGAAGCTAGATCACCATAGAAAACCTGGAAGCACTGAACGACTGTCACGTCCTAGTATGGGACTCCTCAGCAGTGCGCATCCACGATCCCGCACTCTGCGAGATTCGAACCCAGGATCTATCAGTCTCGCACTAGGCGCTTAACCAGTGCTTTCAGGTTTTCCATTGTGGTCTAGTTTCAATTGACTCATGATTTCAACCAGTAGAATAATTCACACTATTCTTATTATTCCAATAATGTTCAATCGTATTTTCACTTAACTGTTAATAGTGTTACTCATAATTGAAATTTTCATATCAACCATGTTTCATGTACATTATAAGTATTTATCTCAGAATTTTATGTTGGATTGTAAATTATTGTACACCGCTCAGTATTCAGCGGTTATATATAGATATGGAATTTAATGTATTTTAGTACATTACATAGATATTACACGTAACATTTTTAACACTGAAGTTCATTTTACTGAGAAACTGTTGTAATCATAATTCATTTGGTGTGATTTTATTTGTATCTTCCCATTGTTATTTTGGAACTGCAATTGATCAGTCTCATGTTGGCATATGTGCATCCTGTGCGGATTGCCTCGATATAACCTTATGTCACAAGCTTTTTCCACTGCTAGCCACTATCTATCTTTGCTTAAAAAATGTTGTAATTATAATGTACTATTTTATAAACGTCAAATGCAGGGTATTCATCAAGAGAATGAAACATTTTGTAAAGGATAAATATTTCTAGGTGCTTCATTATTTATTGTATTAAATTGTAAACAGATTATATTTGATTGATAAACACCAAGTATTATATCATTGTATGATATTGATTAAAGAGATTACTATCAATACAAGTAAAACCATCTACTTACATTTATTATTTACACTTCCCATTATTTCGTTTATCCTATACAGTTCAACAGTGTTTAGTTCACTATAATCTGAATGATTTCATAGTCAATCTTTGATAGTTAAAATATACGAATTAGAAAATCAAACACTAACAAGTTTATTCAGACTCTTTATAATGAATATTATTTCATTGCTGAAAAATAAAACGATCTTAATTTTCACAGCTACTTTTCTGTTAATGTAATTCATTTCAACTATATATTCTGTTACTTTAAAGATAATACATTTGAATATGGTTGTTAGCGCGACATAGATTAGATTAAAGCATGCTCAATGCACGATTACTTTGGCGCACGCTGATTGGTTAATTCTTAACCAATCACAGCTAGCCGGTATTTAGAAAACACACTCATGTAAAAAACGATAAATGTACTAACATTTTTCCTATTGTCCTTCTTACTTCCATCTAACCTTGTTATCTGAAATATAATCTCTTTCCTGTTCAACCGTGTTCTGATTTGAGGACTTGTCGAGTAAATTAGTGTCCAAGTATACTAAGCAATAGGAATAGCTGGATTGTAATAAGAGAGTTATAACAATAGTCTATTTTAAATAACTAGTTAGTCGATTGGTAAATTAGTTTTATTATTTATAATCATATAAATACTTATAATTAAATTAAATAACCTTTATGATTATTAATCTATTTTCTGGTATTTAAACGTCTTCTATTGAATAGAATAATATGAATATTACTATTAGTGTTTTAATGGAAAACAATCAAAATTCTTTGTCATTTTTTTAAAAACCAAAAACAACCCATTTCTCTTGACTAATCAATATATGTATCTATGTATAGTGTTTTGCGTAATACAGATTCATTTTTGACGACCATAGACACATCGAAATTCAATAGATCAGTTAATAATCTACCATTGAAATCTAATTCTTCCCAAGTAGTTTATACATAAAAACAGAACTTGTTTGTATATCTAAGTATGATATACAAAAGAAATAAAATTTTCTACCATTAAGTTATAAATTCACTATATGTAATAAATATAGATATTAGTTTAGTTAGTGAAGATTTGATAGTATTCTCATGATAGTATTTGTGCATATATATATATATATATATATATATATATATATATACTTGTGAGTGTTTGTGTATTTGAGTGCGTACAAGCGTGTGTATGCATAGAATTGAATGGGCATGAATTTAGGTACATGTTGTGGTAAATGTTAGTTAGAGAAAAGTAAAAATGGTGTACTGTCTAATCGATAACATTTTCCTCTCTCTCTCATCTTAATGAAATGGACAAATCACTTCAGAATATGGATGGGTAAAACGATCAGTACATTTGAATCATAGTGAAATAATTTGAAATTTATTCTATTCCCCTTTAAATAAAATTAGAAATTACATTAGTGTTGTGGTGTGTGCTACTTATATTGACATAAGTAGTATATGATGCTAATCGTAAACAGAAAGTTTGGCAGCAGAGAGACAAGAGAATCGAACAGTAAAGAATGGAAACAGGATGCAATTTGTGTGAAAATGTAAGAACAATGAAGTTTGAGTTATTTTGAGACAATTGATGGACATTTTTCAAATTAAGCATTTACTTTATGATTGTTAGATTTAATTAACGAGTCCTGTAATTTTGTGTCAAATGCATTCGATTGTGTTCCACTGGTGTTCTTGTTCACTACAATGTAACTGTTTGAAATACTCACGTAAAATCGAAAGAGGAGCTTTCGAGAAAATTATGACCACAAGGGAAAATATTAAATGAAGATAGTTAAAAACACATTCTATTACATTTAAGGGTAAAGTAAACACATCCGCATATCGTTATCTCTAAACAATCAATTACAGTGTACATTAGATTTCTATACTGGACTGTTAACAAAATCACAACATAGAAGTTTGTTTAAGCATAAAGTAACCAGTATAAATCATTGTACATTTAATGAATTAATATATAGTGTTTAAAGCACTGATTTTTCGTTGGTACATTTTAATAAAACCAAAATGACGACATCAAAATTCGACTAATATCTATTATTGAATATGACTAAAGTTATCATTCAAGACAAATAAAGTGGAATAAGACTAAATTGACTGCTTTATAATAACTGTATCTAGATTTGAAACTTGTCAATAATAAGAACTAAGATGAAACAGATAACTAGTACTTTGTAGTAATCATATTTTTTTTCTACTTTATTCCAGTTCATGAAGAAAAATATGCTCAAAATGAATAAATCTACTTGAACTACACAAATCAAACATGTTTTTGTGTTAAGGGGTCAAATTTAGCAAGTGAAACATTTAGAGCATTGGAAACAAAATGAAGAAAACTTGAGATGGTGTAGATGATTTATAGCTGAATTGGATGATTTTTATCAGAAGAAAACCTACTTTATATAAAAATATGAATCAATGTTCTATATAGTATTATTGTAAAGTGTTATAAATAACCGATAGATTCCATGACCTGTTATTATTATCGTCAGTATTACATATAATCAGTTGTGTTTTGTTCTTCATTTATATTCTTTCCTATCCAAATCGATAACTGTAGATTTTGATAAGCTGTCAAGTTCTAATTGTTTTAAGACACTGGGAATCCCTTAACAATATTCGTTTATAATCCTATGTATATATATTTCATACTTCAAAAAATAGTTAAGAAGTGGTTCATTGAATTATTCCATAGAGTGTTATTATCAATTACCTTGAAGTTAATTAATTCAAATCATGATATGAATATATAGTTGGTTTTTTTGTTTACAGTTTAATTGGTTATTCATCTTCTACACACGAACTCCTTAGTTCCTTTTTTGTTCATATTTTATTTATCGAATCCATTGAATGATCAATCTGGGAATAATTTAATCAATTTTTCTGATTCATTAATTTATTTTACTGTTTTCCTTTTTATCTGATTATTTAATCGATAAAAAGTGACCCATATTTATTATTATTATTATTACTAATCAGATTTTATTAAGCTTGTCTTATATGTTAGTACTTACGAATATGTACCTTCATTTAACTACTGGAAACTATTACTTTTTATTTACTATTAAACATAAGTTATATTTATCATTAGTATTGTGGTGCGTGCTACTTATATTGATATAAGTAGTATATGATGCGAGTCAGGAATGTAATGTCTGGCAGCAGAAGATGGGGAAGATCAAGAAAGGAAGAGGGGGAATAGAAAGCAATTAGTATGTAAATGCAAGAAGGACGAAGTTCGAGACAATTATTGAACATTTTGCAAATTAAGTATTATAGTGTGGTTTTTCTATTTTACCAAGTAACTCTGTAATCGTGCACTAAATACAATTCGGTTGTCCTCACCTGTGTTCACCTTCACTACAGTATAACAATGTGGATCATAAATGCATAATATTTATTACTTTGAAAGATGAAAGATTTTTTCAGGGAAATATGATTGTTTGCTATATATATTACATTAAACTATCATTTCGCTTAACGATTACAACCTTCTAAACACTAAAAACTGACTTTCACTGATAAACGTAACTTATATAGAGTTAGTTTAGTTAGGAGTAAAATAGTTTCATAATAAATTAATTAAAATTTAGAAACTCAGTTAACGGAATTTCAGTTCAGTGATGAGTAAGCATAATGTTCACAGTAAGTTATGGAGCTTCTAGGGTTATTTGCCATATTTCGTAATAAATGTGTACTGTTTCGTCTGAGAAGGGTCGGGCATGGGGTCTCGAATCTCACAGAAAACTAATTCGCTAAAAAGCGCTAACCAGAAAACATAACTTGAAAGAGTATTATATTTACTTTCTTCTTACCTGACCAACCCTCAAAGTGTATCTTATTCAATATTATTGTAAAAATCGTTACTATATTTCATGAAAACTGAAATGAAATAACTTAATTCTCAAGAAAACAAAGTTGATCTAGGCTCACATACAACATAGTTTTGTATATTTTAGT